AGTGTACTGGTTGGTTTTGCTGAACTGCTTTTCCCCTCTCCTTTTATAGAAAATTATTGTAAGATTTGGAGAGCAAGGAGAGATCTAGCTAGTGGTAATTAAAAAGCAGACAAGCCTATGGCTTTGTTTATTTCATTTACCCAGTTACCATATGATCCGTCATAAAAACAAATGCCAGTTAATGGTGGGGGTTTTTGTGACTCATAACCAGTGAAAGCAGGAAAACTGGCTATAGTTTTTTAGTCACTTTGTTGTCAACATTTTCCCCCATGTCACTATAGTAACAAATTGACTTTCATTTTCCCTGTATATGTACTGTCATTATTATTGTCGTTTAGAACTATCATTTTATCAGCTATGTCACCAGAGGTTTATGTATTTTTTATTTTTAGGTAATCACAAAATGCAATAAGTAGTTTTGTTCCATATTTCACTATTTTAAAATCTAAAATATTGGAGAAGTCACATTTACTATTTCCAAGGTGTTTTGCGTAATGCTGTATATTAACTTTGACTCCCTTTGAATGCTAAGTGTTATTATAGGTATTTTATGTTTTGGGAAACTGAAGCCACAGTGAATTGTAGAAGTTGAATGACTTGCGAAGGGATATAGAGAGAACACAACAAGTGGCTTCAAACTCTCACCCCAAATCCTCTGAGTCATACAGGCCTATTAATGTTTCTTATACATTGCTTTTTAATATAAACTTATTTGGAAGTAGTTTTTAAACCTGCAGACTTTAATTATAACTTCCTAAGACACTAGGCTGTGTGTGTGTGTGTTTAGTTTTTTTGACCCTTTATTTTAAAATTCCATTGTCACTAAGCATCCTGTATCACCTGTGTTCCAGGGTGGAGAGCAGACCCTTTTGACAATAGATCCTGGATGTGGGCTCCAGTGGACTGGGTCCAGCCCAGTGTAGGAAGACCGACACCCAGAGAAAGAATTTGAACTTACTACTCCCCACTATCTTCTCTGGCTCATTATGCCCTCACCCCAAAGACCCCAGGGGAGAAAAATCTTACATCTTAGGTTTGGCTAATGACTTAAGTTCTCTCCAAAAGTATTAATAGGGTCACTTCTAGAAAAGTCATTCAGTATGTAAAGTAATAGATAACAATATAGGTTCATTTTCTTTTACGACAAAAAAAGTATTTAAAAGACTCATCATTGTGTATTGACAAACACTTAAAAACATGGCCCAATAACCCATCATTTCTGGTATATTCTCCTGGGAGGTAGGAAAGACTCCCTGCTGAATAGATGCTTTATATTTACCTCAGATCTGTAGTATCTGAGTAGAAGCTCAAGAGCTGTATCTCCTGGCCAGCCAGGCTGAATGGCTCATCCCTTTGGGGTTGGTCACCTCTTTTGATTAGGTTATAGTTATAGAAAGCATCTTTCACTTCCAGTCAGAACTCGGAAAGCTAACCTGTCTTCTCAAACTCTTAGAATGACCACCATTATGGTCAGTTCTGAGATTTGCTCTTTGGCTCCCTATTCTTAAGAAAAGACAGGCAGCCAGTCTTCAGGAGAGAGGGGGAGAAAGAGCAGAAAAAAATCCTCTCCCACCCCCAGTAAGTCGAAGGGAGAGCCGTCAGTCCCCAACAACACAGTGGAAAGTGAGGGTCAAAGGCTTTGATCTCTCCTTTTAGGGTACTAATGATGGTGAAAGAGCCCAGGCACAGACATACTCCATTCGGTGTCTATCACAGGTCCCAGACCACTAAATGGAGGGCTTCCCCTATTCCATTATATAGATAAACAGTGAATGTTACTATTTTTCCTATAAGTTAGCTAGGATATACAAACCATTTTGGTTTGCTGATCCAATGATTAAATGAAAGCATGATGGGAGTTAAGCTTAGACAATGCACAAACAGCATATTTTCCCCAAAAGCTAGGATTTTGTGTTGAACCTTATTTTGAAATAAAGCATTATTAATAAATGTTATTTCCCTTAAACAGTTTTTTAATCTCATTTACTTAACAGTATTATGATTTTCCTCAATTAAAAAAAAGTTACATTGGTTTAACTCTGAGTAGAAATGAATAATTTCAATTAGTTATAAAGGGTAATCACTATCACTAAGATCTTATAATGTTAAAGGGGAAAAACTCCCCGTTCTTTTGTACTGATGTCCTAAAGTTCTTCCTTCGCAGTTGATTATTTTGTGTTGGTTATTTTGTGAGCTTGAGGGCCTCAACTGTTTTTTGCATTTTTGCAACTCAAGCACTTAGCATGGTGCCTTAGTGCCTGGCATATAATGGGTGATTAATAAATGTTTAAAGAATAGACCAAAAACATTTTAAAACATTCCCACTTTTAGAAAATACTCCTGAAAGATTCAATTTAGAGGTAAAGCAGATTTTCCTCCCTACCCCACTGGAATGACTGATATGAAGACAAAAGAAAATTTAAAACATTTTTTTGGAAATAAAATGCTTTTTGAAGCTATTAATTTTGTAGCCTTGTCTACTGCTCTGTTGCTTTGCAGTTGAGTTCTGACTGGGTGTGGTGGGTAATTTTTTTTTTTTTTTACTTTGGGTCTCGTCCAGTGGAAACTTGAGTGTTTTCAGTGGCAATCCATAGTACAGTCATAGCTGGTTTCTGACTCATGTTATAATTTGCAGGCCTTTTTAATGGGCATTTTGTTTTCCTTGTTTTGCAGTCTTTATGTCTCTCTTGGTGTGGAGAATACCCATATTATCATTGGGAATAACTGCTTTTGGTGGCTTGATTATGAACGTTACTAAGTCAGTATACATTTGAATTCCCATTCTGTGTATACTATTTACCTTGCAGAGCTGGGAGAAATACAAAGTTTATGTAAGATAATCCAAAAGTCTGCTGAGAAACATTGGCCTGTGTCTGTAGGCTACTCAGCTTGTTAATGTGCTGATGTAGTTTGATTTTTGTCTGGATAAAAGTTAAATTCTGACCATAGGATTGAGGCCACCTATGTACCTCTCACATCCTGAAATAAAGTCAGCAGATTATCTGCACTATAGCTACTTGTTGGAGGATGGGATTTGTGAACTGGCCCACCACCTGACAAAAACTCTGGACTTCAGAGAAATAGCCTTAGTATGTTGGCTAATCACAGAAATGCCTTCAATAGGTTATAATTTGCGTCTTTGGCTCTTCTAGACTATCATTTATATGTCATAGTAGAAGATATCCACTATTTTACCTACCCCACTTCTTTTTATATAAAATCATATCTATACATGATATCATTTATTTTGTTTCAGGGGGGAAAAGTGACTTTGGAGATGAATTTGTATGCATTTTTTCCCCCTAAAAATGAAACCTAATGTTTCCTTTATCTGCCAGCATATTTTGGGGCATAGTCAGTGTCTCAGTAGTAATGAGATCATCTTGAATACCTAGTAACTAAAGTCTAGTATACATCTTTAAAAGATACATCTGCATAATTCTAAATGCAGTTAGGTACATACAAGTACTTGCCTGCTCACCTGGTGTGTAAGGACAGAAGGAATGTTTTTATTTATTTAATTTTTTTTTATTTTTTTAAGACTTTTAGATTTTTAAAAGTTTTATCAGAGTCATAGGTGAAGAATTTTTTTAGTGTAAATTAAATATTTATAACTGCCTGATGTACAGTTCTTTCCTGTACACATATTAAAGACACGAGATTTTTTTCAGCATATAAGCAGAGCTGACTTAGCGATCATAAAGACAGGCATAACATTAACCAAAGTTGTCATGAAAGTGTCGTTAAATAATGTCTTCCATAGAATCCAAATAGAGTGGTCCTCCATTTGATCCTCATTATGGATAATATGTGAATTGTGTGGAGTCATGCAGGAAAACTCAAATGGAAAAGAACACCTGTTCCTCCTGTTCTACTTATCATTGAGTGGAAAGCTCTCGCCCTGTTATACTGATGGGCTCGGTCTGTAATTTATCAGGAGAAAGAGTGTGAGTGGGCTTGGAAGTCACATCAACAAAATGAAGCTGATTCCTGGTATAGAAAACGATCCTTTTAAATGGCAGTGTTCTTTCAGAGGTTCTCTGTCTCTATAATCAGATGCAACATTAGCTGTGTTGACATGCATGCAAGTATAATTGAGTATTGCATTTGAGGTTAGGCCTGGGTTTGAGAGGTGTCTCAGACAGTTGCTAGCTGGATGAACCAAGGCAAGTAACTTCAATCATTCAGTCAACCAGCATTTAGTAAATGCTTTCTACATGTCAGCTACCATCCTAGGCTCTTCTTCTCAAAGGGCTTACCTTCTAACAGGGAAACAAGAAGTACTTATGAGTATGTAGTAACGTAAGTGCAAGATAATTCGGAGGGCTCTAGTATTGGAGGGATGGGCGCTTAGGAGATGTTCCCCAGAGTCTGGAAATGAAGTGTCTCGAGAGAGGAACAGTAAGAAGGCTGGTGTCACTGGATCACAGCATGATGGAGGAGACAAAGGTTGTAAGATGACTGGACTGGAAAGGGAGAGGAGGATCCAGTTGTGAAGGGCCAGAGGATTGGCCCATCGTAATGACAGAGGATTTTCTATTTGATGTTGGAGATGCAGGGGGAAGTGGAATATCAGCATCATGGGATTCTAATGTGTCATAAGAAATGATGCAGGGATTGATTTCAGAGAAACCTGAGAAAGACCTGTATGAGTGAAGTAGGCAGAGCCAGAAGAACAGTTTATATAGTAATAAAGACTTTAAGAACTGTGGTTAATGCACTAATCAGCTGCAACTCTAGGAAATCTATGGTGACACTGCCCACCTTCTTCCAGAGAAGTAAGATACACAATGAGATACACATTTTCAGACATGGCCAATATGGGAATTTATTTTGTTTGACTGTTCATATTTGTTATGGGGGGAGGGGTGGTGAAGGGAAAGAAAATAAGTACTGATTAGCTAGAAAAAGTGTATTGTGGGTTTTTTTTAATTTATCTATAGGTTTGTCTTAAAATAATGCTTCTTTAAAACCTATTTTTATTTTTCCCATTCTTTTAGGTATCCGTTACAGTACAGATGTTAGTGTGGATGAAGTCAAAGCCTTGGCATCTCTGATGACTTATAAATGTGCTGTGGTTGGTAAGAGAGCTTCCTTGTTTGTGGTAGGATGTTCTAAAAGTGCTCTAAGCTCTTAGACAGAAAAGTGGTGTCTGGATGCTGTTATTTTTATTTATTTTTTAAAATTAATGTATTTTTAGTTTTCAGTAATCACTTCTGTAGGCTTTTGAGTTTTAAATTTTCTCACCCTCCCTCCCTGTGATGGCATGCAATCTGATAGGCTCTACATAAGCTGAATGTTATTTTTACAAGATACTGTAGTAAGGAATTGAAACTAAATTGTCATTAGATGCATTATTAATTTTTGGAATTTTTAACTGGCTTTTGAGGCATATGTGTTTCCTTCTATTAGTATTTCTAAGAAAATACAGTTTTTTTAATGTGGGTAAACTTTTCATTTACTCCAGTAACTTATTTTCATGTATAATCTATCTTTACATAAAATCAAAACTTCCTGAAAGAATGCACTGCCTTTTAGTAGGACTGGATTAACTAATAACAAATTTGAATATGATAGAAATTCTGATGAAACAGGTAAGCCACAAAAAATTCTTACAGGCCTTATTGTATTAAAAAGTTAAAGTGATTTAAGGATAGCTTTGATAGGACATAATTGTTAATTATTAAGATTTAGGGGAAAGGTTGAATTTTGTATTCAAAATTTGAAAACATTTTTACTCAAAGTATTCAGTTTGTCTTTTCTTCCATGTTTTGCTTCAGATGTGCCATTTGGAGGAGCCAAAGCTGGTGTTAAAATCAATCCCAAGCAGTATTCAGTAAGTTCTACCTTTATGTGTATGTGGGAATTAGAATAATGTTCCCTCTGCCCTTCTTCTGTGTTGCTGTTTTCCCAGCTGATTTCCCCTTTCCCCAGAGGTGAGAGTAATGAACCCTATTGCTTAAAAGACAGATGGAAAAACAAGTAAATAAGTTACTCATTTGGTAAATTGCCATATGAAAAGTCACCTACTTGATGGAGCTATTGACCTTTCTTTGTACATTTCCTTGTAGATCCCTGTACATTTGGAAACCACTGTTTTCTTAAATAATTGTTGCTTACAGTGAATTAAACATTTTTTTGTTTGTTTTTTGATTTGATTTTGTTTTTTGTCTATCTCATCTCAGACACTATATAATGGGTTCAAGTCTTTTTGTATTGTTAGGTTTTATCATTTTAAAAAAATGAGTCTTTCAGTTCTGAGGCAACCACATAACTCATTGTATTTGGACTCCCTATGAATTCTAAGTTGTCTCCAAACCAATTCTGAATGTGCTAGATATTTTAAATATAATGATAGACATAACTCAGACAGTCCTTTGAGTGTGACCCCATTGTGAAGAGGTCTCTCAGTTAGCCTGTGATAAGCTGCCTAGAGATTGCAAGTGTGGCTAACCAGTGGGAAAAAAAAGGCCCACAGAGCTGTAAGACAGGGCCCTTTTGAGAGTGGCTGCTTTCAGTTGACTTAGCATATGTGAAGATCCTACCACTTTTGGTTAAATATATAACTGGGCCAAAAATATATCTGTTTCTTTATAGGATAATGAGTTGGAAAAGATCACAAGAAGGTTTACCATGGAACTAGCAAAAAAGGGCTTTATTGGTATGTATTATAATTATTCACTTTAATAATTTAGTCTGGTTACAGAAGCCAGGGCAGTGGTAGAATACTTGATTTCGTGGACCTAAGTGCCAGGAACCATACCATGGTTCTTCAGTGAGTGGGGAAGGGGGCTGAACAAACTGAATGAAAGAGTGATAGACTTCTCATACGGTGAAGAGATTTGTTAGCCACAGTGTCTTCCAATGAATGGTGAAGTAGGTGCCCTGAAGGTGATTGGATAGATGTATATCTGAAAGGAAATGAGGAGACATGATTCCTATGGGATGCATCAGAGCTACAATGTGTGGAGGGGAGTAGGAGAGATAGAACATTCAGTGGGTAGCAGCAGAGAGTGGGGCCAGATGGGTAGTAGGCCTAGGAAGCAGTATGTTGATGGTACCAGAGGACATCAAGAACTCTGCTGTGTCAAAATATGAACTACGCTTTCCTACTTCTGTGGGGCATATTTGTTCCCGGTGTGTGTGCCTTCCTCAAATATGGTTGGCCACATGTGTCCCACATAAGTTTATATTTCACACAGATGTTCTATGCATGTATACTCCCCAGTGAGGATGTGGCTATTTTGTGAGAGACTGAGCTCCACATTTATGGGTACCCAATAACTCTGATTTGTGTTGTTGATTTTTCCAGCTTTTTTAAAATTTTAATTAAACATGTCCATTCACTGAAAAAAAAAGAGTTTAGTCTGGCATTCATCTAAACTGGTACTGAGAGTTGTATTTTTTTCTGATAAATATGCATATACTTAGTTCCAAAGGGTGCTACTCTCCATGATATCCATTAACAGAATAGTTCTAGTTTGTTCCCAATCAGTCTGTGCAATTAGGATAGTAGAGAAATGGATCACAATTTTGTTTCATGAAGACATAAAAATGTATTCAATTAGAAAGCATTTATTCTGTCCTCAAGGAGCCTACATTCTAAAGAGCAAGACAGCATGTGCACATATCCTTATGTACGAAATATGTACAAATGAAAGCAAAGACCTTTTGTGAGAAGGGACATAGCCTTATGGTGGGTCAGGAAAGATCTTGTGGAGAAGGCAGCACTTAGCTAAGTTTTTGAGAATTTGAGGGATTCCAAGAGGCAGGGGTGAGAAGGGGGAGGGCCCCCAGGCATGGAGGCCAGCCAGTGTGAAGGCATGGAGTGACTTCATCCCAGAGTACATGGAGGCGAGGAATGTAGAAGACTTGAGATCCTAAAGTCACAGAGAGCTGTTGGAGGTCTGGAGAATGACCCTGAAGCTGTGAGCTCGGTTTTGGACATGTTGACTTTGAAGTGCCTATAGAATGTCATGTTCAAACTAGACAGTGGGCTATTGGCAACGTGACAAGCATGGAGCTCAGGAGAGAGGCTGGGACTGGACACCAGGAACTGGGAATGCTCTTTATAAAGAGAGCTAGTGAGGTCACCAAAAAAGGAGATAGAGAAAAAAGATTATAGTGAATTAGCAACTAATTACACACATTGTCTTTGTTGATGTGTTCAAAAAAAGGAGCTGTGGCTGTACCTTAAGGCATTATATGTGGTCTTATTCCTTTTAGAAATGATACTTGAATAGGATTTTTTAAAAAAATATTTTAAAAATTATAACCTTACTGTTCCTAGAGGCAAAGGAAAAAAACCTGGTGGCTTAAGATAGTTACTTGAAACTAGCCCTTGAGCCATCATTGACAGATTGGATGAAAAGTTGATCATCGTACTTCAAGCCCTGCGTCGAATGTCACTTAACCTTTCAGTGTCCGTGTTCTGTCAGACTGTCATTCTGCAGCCCAGGTACCCATCTGCATTGGCAGAGGGAGTTTTTTCACTGGAACTTCCCATGCTAGTCAGAGTCATAGGTCTAGTCGAAAAGAAGATGGGAGGTGGGCACAGGACAATCTAGGAGATCGTGGTGATAAGCCTCTGCTGGATGACTGTCTGGGCATTGTCCTGGCATTTGTTGGCTGGGTCAGACCTAAGGGCTATGTGCATCTGTCCCACCTAGCTGTGACCCTCTTTGTTTCTTCCTTATGACGTAGAGGTGACTCTGGGTGCTTCAAGCTTATGCCAGGGGCTCTGAGTATGGGCTCAGGAATAGACATTGGCATCTGAGGATCAGCCTTGTTTATCACTAGAGGCTTGTCTGACCATCAGTTTTTTGGCCAAAGCAATTTATTTATGTAAAGTGCTTTGCAAAGTTTAAAGCACTATATAAAAGTTATTATTTATGGAAATTTATAAGTCATGGAGTGATTTTAATCTGCATCAGTGACGGAAGTATCCATAGTGATGAAACCATGAAGTACTTCAAGAAGATAGAATTTTCTTTCCCCAGCCCTATTCCCTATTTCTGTTAGTGATAGTTTTGTCCTTCTAATCTCCCAAATTTGAAATCTCATCTTGATTAGAACTGAGTATGAGGTAATAGAGTTTCCAGTTTAGTCTGTTTCTACCATCTCTAGTATTTGTCCCCTTTTCACTTAAACTACCCCACTCTCCCCCAATCATTTCTCATCTGGACTATTAGCTTCCTACTAGTCATCCTGCCTCTGGTTTTTCCTCCTTTCAATCCAATTTTCACTTAACTGCTAAAGTGATCTTCTTGACACACTGATCAGACCATGTCACTTGGCAGACTGAAAACTCCCTGGCTTGTGATTGCTGAGGAATAAAATAGGAACTCCCTATCCTGGAATTGAAGGGCTTCCACAATCTGGCTCAACTTCACCTTTTCAGCCTTATTTCTTTCTAGACTGCTTTACCACACACTGCCTTTGAGCCAAACCAGACTACAAGCTGCTCCCTGATGGCAGAATCCTGTACTCTTCCCCCCGAGTATTTTCCTAGACTCTCTGCCATGCCTAGAATGTACACCTTTAGTGTCTCCACCTGTCAATCCCTCTTTCTTCAAGACTTCTGTCTGGTACCACATTTTCCATGAAACCTTCCATGTCTTGCACCCCCAGCTGAAAATGATCTTTTCCTCTTAGAATTTTCATAGAACACTTCATCCGTGTTTCTCTTTCGCTCTTTTCACATAGTTCTGCCTTGTATAATGCTTAATGCCATAGACCCCTTATAGACGGTAAGCCCCTTAAGGGCCAGGGTCTGTTTTTCTTCTTTGTCTCCCTATTGCGTTGTGGGTAGTAGGCACCTAACAGGAGTTGAACTGAACTAAAACACTTTTGCCTTGTCTACACAGGTAATAAAAATTTTTTATCCTTTAAAAAAAATTCTTTTAAGAGTAAAGAAATAAACTTCATTTTTCACATCAGGCATTAAATTTTAAGACTAGAAATACAATCTCTCCTTCCCCCTATCTTCTCCCTTTAAAAATAACAGTAATAAAAGATAGTAATGAATGTGAAATTGTTTACATTTGGAAACATGACTTATTTATGGAATAACTAAGGAAATAGTGCCATATTTTATTAGACCAATGGTGTATCCCTTTGACAGTGATAACAGGGAATATTTTGTGGGAGTACATAATTGTCCTTGACAGCAAGCTTCAAAGGTAAGTACACCATATAAAAGTAGATGAACACCATATCTCTAGCTTCTTTAATAAGCATTATAAATTAATTTTTCTAGGTTCTTAGGCCTACTTGTACTTTCAGACTATACCACGTATGGTAAATAATAACCCCTATATTCTTAAAATTTGCTATAAAAGGTGATAATAGCAGTCTATCTTGGTTATAGAATACAGAATTTTGAAAATAGTTACTGGATAAACCATCCATAGGTTACCAGTTTTCAAAGAATAAGAGCACAATAAAAGTGTGCCTAAAACACTCTTAGACGTTGTATATTTTTCAATTATTTAGAAAAGTGTTTTATCATGCAGTACTTCAGAGTCACCCCCATGATTATCACTTAATATGTTAGTTGATTATATATTTGTAAGAAGGAAATAAATCATGAGAGTTGACAAAAAGGGGGGGAAATGTTTTTACCATATTTCTGTTAATTATTTACCCCAAAACTAATACTTTGAAGTTTCTAATAGTCTGAGATTTTTACCTTGATATACTTCAAGATTCTGTAAACTATTATTAATCCTTTTTCTTTTAATTTGTTGGCTTCTCCTTACATAGAAGTCTTCCCATCCATAGGTCATTTTAGTTGTCTTTTCTGGCCCTTCTCCAGTTAGCTTTCCTGAAGTACAATGTTTTTAAGAATGAATGAAAAAAGTATTATTAAGCCCATATTATATGCCAAGCAATGTGCTATGCACTAGTGATACAGGTAGAAGATAGAGGTCTGTAGTGGGTCAGTCTGCAGCTTAGAGTCATTTTTCAAAAATGTATTCTCTTTTAGCACTCAGATTACATTTTCCTGAAGAAATAACACTATGAATGGTTAAATTTTCAGCTGGTCTACACAATAGTCCAGATATGCAGCATAATTTTCACAGTGTAAAATTGAGAGAAATTAGGTTTTCTTTATACTTATTCTCATCTTACAAATTTTTTGTCCCTGTGGCAAGGGTTTATTTGAATAGCCAAAGTATTTAACACAGTCTCATTTTTACTCTCACAGCAACCTTGTGAAGTAGATGATGTGGATGGGCATTATAGCAGATATACAGATGGGGGGAGGGGGCTGCTGTGCTGCCAGAGAGTTAAGTGCATTGCTTGTGTTTGCATAGCTTTCTGGTAGGAGGGCTGGAGCTAGAATACCTTGACTGGTCCCATGTTCTTTCCACTATATCTACCATAAAAATCAACCTTGGGTTTGTTTTGTTTGCCTAATTGATCAGCAGCGCACAACGTATTTTTCCAAAAGAAATTTAAATACATTGCTAAATGCTTTATAAGAGATTTGGCTTTCTGTGTACAGTAAAACAGTAAGTTAAGTCGAGTCATGTGGACTGTTCAAACAAATTTTAGGCTAGATTGGCTTTTGTTATAAAGGGCTCTTGGTCTTCCTGTCACTAGCTCATGTTGATTTAGGGTTAAAAATTGATTGCATTGGCCTTTGTCGTTTGCAAACAGGACCTGGTGTTGATGTTCCTGCTCCTGACATGAGCACAGGTGAAAGAGAGATGTCTTGGATTGCAGATACCTATGCCAGTACCATAGGACATTATGTAAGTACCAGAGAAGGGATTGGTTTTAAATGGTTTCATTTTACTGGACGTCAAATTGTCTCTCTTAGAAAGCAATATGTTTTGGTGGATGTTCACAAATCTTCCTGTTCTGCTTTTTTTTTCTTTTTTTTAAGAGGAGAGTGGTCCCTGACACGTTTTATACCCTCAATGTAGGGGGAAAGAGATTTATTTGCTTGGTACTTCTTGTCTAGATTACAGTGCAGGCATGCCTTCCCATCTATAGAATTATTGTGCATCTATCTCCTCCAGAGGTACTCTGGAGGTCCCAGGTTATTCCCTAGGTGCCCAGTATACAACTGCCTTCCATCATCTCTTGCTCTCACCAATATGCCTTTCCTCCCTTTGCTGCTTCATGAGGCTGAAGTCATCATTGGTGATAGGTTGCACATGCAGACTGGTGAATGTTTTCCATCTCTTGCACTCTGGGTCTTCCACAGTTTGAGCTTTTCACAGCATGTAATGTTCTCTGATTTACCACCGTACAGCATTACTGGGAGAATTTTTTTTAAGCTGATCTGTGACTTCTTTGGTATAAGGAAGTTGCATTGAAAAGGTCCTTTCCGAATGCAAATTGACATCTTCTGGTCTAAGCGTTAACCAGGGCACTGAGAAGTTAGATGACTTGCCCCGGTTACTCAGCCAAGAAGGGTCATAGGCAGGTCTTGACCCCAGATCTCTTAATTCCCATTCTTCATGCCCTATGTGCCTCTCCTGGCATCAGAAATGTGGGGTTTTGTGTCAGGAAGCAGCTGGAGATAGTGGAAAATACCATCTACTGTAGCTAGTGAAGTCCTGCATGCTGTCTTTCTCCTGTCTTGTTTCTAGTTCCTGTTCGTCCTCACTCCCTGTCCAAGATACACGTGCTGATGGCCTAATTCAGAGGACTCATCCATTTGCTTCTATTAGCAAATCCTGTGTGTCTTTAATATATAAATGGAAGGAGGAAGGATATTAAAGCGAAGCTTTGTTTTACTCAGTAAAATTTTTGGGAAAGGGGGTAGGGGAAATAAATTCAGTAGTATCCTATATTTTCCATGTATTCCACTCACTTACAAGGTGTTAAAGAAATGAGAAAGTAAAGATAATCAATAATTATTGCTGGTTTTCAAATCACCTCTTTTAAAAAATAACTGCTTTGTTTTTTTGGGTTTTTTTTTTTGCTTTAGTATCTTCTCTTCTTTGCAATCTTGAACATGAGCCTCTTGGTACCTTCAGAATTACTGCCTCCAGCACCTCTTTGCTGGTTTAAGCCATTCTTCCTGACTTGTCATTTCTACTGGTGCTAAGTTCTTAGTCTAAATGTAGCAGTTCCACCATGGTTGATAATGGGTCATTCTGGAAATGCTGTTCAGATCTGTTCCAAGTTCTGTCTCTTTATTGACCTCTTTCCAGTTTCAGTTACAGATGTGCTTAGAGTAATCTAGCTCAGTTGCGTTTCACAGCAAACTCAATGCAGACTGATTTGGCAGTGAGAATGGCAGACCCACTCTCCCATGATGTTTTTACAAATAATTTTTGTTTTGCATAACATGTCTTCCTGTTCAGCAAGGAGATCAGGTATTTATGGAGTTTCTGGGTGCTTTTGTCAGCCTTGTTGTAGTGACTGGTTTAAGAAAAGGTGATAATCAAAATCAATGTCTTTACCCTTATTACTTAGTATTTTTGAACATCAGTAGTTTTTTGAAATAAGTCAAGGTGGATCTGTTATAATTCTGCGGTGTCTTTTCATGTTTACCTTTCTAATTTGTTGTTAATTTTGATTGCATGCATTCTGAAATGACTCACATCATTAATTTGTAATTTCCTGACTTAATAGTCAGTGTCTTTTTTTTGGTGAGTTTTCTTGCCAAGTCTTTGATTCTTTAAGAAAAGTGTTCATGTTGGTCAGGTTTGAATCTTCTCAGTGGTTTGCAAGCTTTTAGTCTCATTTCTTTGTACTGGATAATTTTCCAAATTTTTTTTCATGGTTTCCTTTCTCCCTTCCTCCCCCTCAACAATACCTACCTGCACTTTGATATATGGACTTCAGAGTACAATGCAGTGGAGGCAACAAAGCACAAGACGTATCTGGGGAGCAGTGAGAGGCATACACTGTCTGGAGCACACAACACATTGTGTTAGAGATAGTACAAGTAAGGCTGGAAGGAGTAGGTTTGAGACACTGGAAAACCTCAAATGCCAGGCTAAGGAATTCACATTTTATGCATTTGAAAAGGGTAGGGTTTGAAATCAGATACCATTTGGAAGTCGGGTTTCTTAGCCCAGATGTGAATCGATAAAGGCCAGGACGAGGCTGGTGGCAGCAGGAGGGGCCGATGCAGAAAACAAGTGAAAGCAGCTGCATTGTCTATCTTCCGGCCTCCAAAGGCTTTTTTACCCTGCTTTTATCAGGTCACCTCTCTTTTCCAGTTGGTCTGACAAGTGCTTTCATGCTCCCTCTTCTCAAATAGCCCTCATAGAGTTTGCTGCTGCCAGCTTAGGCAAGATGTTGGTATGCTTAGCACACACTGACAACAAAAGAGAGCTTTGGTGCAGTCATCCAAACATCTTGGTACTTGTAAACTGAGGTTCTCTTGTTGAAATAACATGAAAAAGAAATTCGGGCCTCAGGCAAGAATACTATTGTTTTAATTACTAATTGCAGCTCATGAAGCTAAGCCTAGCAGGTGCTCTTACAGGACAGCACTAAGACAGATTGTGTGGGTAGCAGGCCTTCATGGCGTACTTGAGTCCCTTGGTGGTGGTTGGTGAGGCTAGTGTCCAAGCTAGCCTGGCTCCTGCTTTCAGCTACTGCATTTGCAGGTTGGCATCACAAGTGGTGTGCTGCCCTGCACTCTTAAGAGAGGCTTTAATTATTCGTGAAAGATAGCTGTGGGAAAATGAATTCTATAAATCTCTGCTTTTATACAGTCGTTTGCCTGCTTGCATTTGCTTTAGAAACAGCTTTCTAAATCACTTCCTATGCTTTACCACCCACATTGCATTTGGAGCTTTGCCATCAGTAAATGAAAGCATACTGTTTAGTTACCAAAAGGTACTGCATTCCTGTGTACTAAAGGACTTTCAAAAAACAAAAACAAAAACTTAGCTCCTTCACTGGATAGAAATCTTAATTTCTTATACATGTCTATCTGAACACCAACTTTGCCCATCTTTTTGATCTTAGATTTTAAATGTTTGTGGTGATTGTTGATGTGTGAGCAGAGCTCTAGCTGCTTGAGTAAGATAAGAAATGGGGGAACTCTGTCTAACCTGTGTCTCGGAGCCAAGACATCTCAGTTCTAGTCTTGCCACTAATTCTATAACCTAGGATCTCTTGGGAAACCCCCCTATTGCACCTCTCAGAGGGAGACTCAGTACTTCCTAAAGTATCCTCTTCTGCTTTGGGACAACTCTTTAATGCTCTTTCCCCTACATAGAATTGAAGTCTCTCCCTCTCCCACTTCTGCTTATTGTTCTTACTTCTGCCCTTTGGCTCTCGGCAGAACAAGGATACTTGCTCATTCATATGGCAGCAGTCTCCCATCGGTGTAGCTGTTCTGCGGGCATCTCAACATGCCAAAACCAGAACGAGTCATCTTTCCTCCAAAAGCTGGCCCTCTTATTTCTGTGGAGATTGCCACCATCTTTCAGGCTCTGAGATTGGCAGCTTCGGGGTCACCCCCAACCCTTCACTGTCCTTCACCCTCTATGTCTAATCATTTGTAAAATCTTAGTTTCTACCTCCACAATACCTTGTGTATGTCCCCTTTTTTCTCTTTATTTAACTGCCACTTTCTTTATCCCCTCTTCCCCTTCAGCTTTCTACTTGGGCTCCCTGCCACAAGCCTCCTCTCCACTCTGCCCATCTTCAGCTACCAAAGTATAGGTCACTCCTGCTCAGTGGTGCCCCACTGGCTCTAAAATCACATGGGGGCCCTGTATAATTTGGGCCTCAACATCCAGCACTATCATGTTCCTTCCCTTCTTCCAGTTTATGGCTTTCTTCCTGTTCCTTGTTTTTTCACTGCTTACTCATTTCTCATAGTAAAATGAGGGGCTCTTCTCCTTTTTATTCAAGGAGTCTCAGGAGTCATTGAGCAGTTAGTGATTTTGAGTTTTTCTAGAACATTTAATGTCTTGAGTTATCTCATGTATTCTTCATGCCCTTCCTCTCACACGATCCCCTCCCTTCTCCCTGAATCCTTGAGTTCTGCCCAGTGTCATGAAAGTATCTCCTCCATGCTAAAGGTGCTATGGAACGTGAAAGCACTCTGACAACAGCAGAAATGTGCCATACAAGTGCACATCACTTTTATATGTTACGACTTGCTGTAATGGAAAATCTTATCTTTAAAAAATCCCCCCCAAAGTTTCATTTCTAGAAATCCTGTGGTGAGATCCTGCAAACCCTCTGCAAACAGTAAAACAGTCTACCAGTTGGTATGGAGGAAAAAGTCATGTCCTCATCTGGGGGGAAAAGGAAATAGCTTTTACTTTCAGATTGACTGTGGATGACTTCCAAGTTTAGTAACCAGCCATGGAGATTAGTAATGCTAAGGATCTCAAGCTTGAATGAACTGCTACAGGAAAGTAAAGTTTTTTTCCTTTATTTGACATTTAGTGTGAAATCTTAGTAACCTTAATCCAATGTAAGATAACAAATTAGATATTTCAGAGACATAACAACTCTTATTTTTTTGGTTGAGGTTGAAGTATCCAGTTAGAGTATTAATTGAGCTGCTGTGATCAGAGCACTTTTCTTCTTTTTTTGGGTCTCCTTTAGTGAACTGTTGACTCATTTTTCATGATTTTCTTGCATTACTCTCATTTCTCTTCCCAATTTTTCCTTTACTTCTCTTCCTTGATTTTCAGAATCCTTTTTGAGCTCTTCCATGACCTGAGATCAATTCATATTTTTCTTGGAGGCTTTGACTTTGTTGTCTTCTGGTTGTATATTTTCATCTTCCTTGTCACCAGAGTAAGATTCTATAGTCTTGAGTTTTTCTGCTGCTTGCTCATCTTCCCAGCCAATTACTTGACTTTTAAACTTTTTGTTAAGGTAGGCTCTGCTTCCAGTGTGGAGGATGTACTGTCCCAAGCTTCAGGGCTTTGTGCAGCTGTTTTCAGAAGTACTTCTAGGTTCCTGTAAATTTTCAGTTCTTCCAAGGAGAGGTGTTTGTTTACTCCTCTCCTGGCCTGTGCTCTGGTCTGTGAGTGACCACAAGCTCTGCTATGCCAATGCTCCTCCTTGCCCGAGGACTGCCACCCAGATCCAAGTATGGACAAAGCAAGAGTGCCAGCAAAGAGATCCCTGTAAATCTTCTGATCAGTTTGATCCCCTTCCTATCTATGGGCTGAGAGCTCTGGAAGCAGCTGCACTGCGTTCTCTTTCAGGACAGACCTTTACCATTGACCTGGGCTGAGAAGTCTGTAAACCGCCACAGGTGCCTGTGATTCAGTACCCTGAGGCCTGCCCCAGGTTTTCTGGGGCCCATCCTTGCCAGCATGGCCCACACCCAACGCTTCTCCCAGCCCGGTGCAACAGACCTTTCCCATAGCCATTCAGGTTGTCTTGGGCTGGAAATTTGTTTCACTCTCTTTTTGTGGATTCAGCTGTTCTCGAATTTGTTTAGAGTCATTTTTTAATAGGTGTTTGCAGGGGTTTGGGGGAGAGCTGAGGTGAGTTCCTGCTTTTACTCTGCCATCTTGGTCCAGAGCACTTTTCTAATAGGGATTCTAAAGAACAGTACCACCAGGACTTGTCCTTGAAACACTTACCTGTCAACTTGGAGAGAAGATGTAGATAAGACAGTTTTTGTACCAAGTCTCTTGTGTCTTACATGTAGAAATTATATACTATGACTGTACAAAGTGTTATAGGAATGGGAAAATAAAGATAAGGTCAGAGTGGAAAGGGGTTAGGCTGGGAATGTAGAGGGATGGGCAGTGACATTAATAATGCCCTGAAGACAGGGCTTCTTGTGGGTTGGGCTCTTCCAGCTTTGTGAGTGGTGGTTAGTAAATCCTTGCTGAATGCGCAAAGGAAAGGAGTCCACAGTTTGGTTGATTAGCCATGTAATAAGGTTTTGGATTTTTGGTTAAAAGAATTGTTACCTCCATCAGGTATCACTGGGCTGCTTCCCTTAAAGAGCAAAAAGAACCAGAACTGGGGTGAGGTGAGCTAATGAAATAAACTTGTCACACTTAATATTCATTTAGCTGTATCTTTAGATAGTGTGGCCTCTTCCTCTGGTGTGTCTTTAGATGTTGAGGCTGGTAAACGGGGCCACTTCTGCTCCTTGAGGAGCAGCCAAAGAGCCTGCCTTAGTTCTCTGCTTTTTGTCTCTCTTTCTGTAGCTATAGATTTTCATATACCCATTTTATCAACTCTAGGATCAGTTTTAAAATAACTTCTAAAAAGTGTCTTCTAAAGGACCCATTAACTGTTGAATGATGTTCTAATGAAATGTGCCTTGCTCTGAAGGCTGTCAGAGTATCTGGGCCCCATGACATTGCAGAGGAACAGCAGGTTAATTGTATGCTTAGCATACCATGCACCGAGGTGCTCAGCCCTCCACTTGTCACTTTAAATAAAAAGAAGACAAGCTTAGCTCAGGAGTTGATGGAATGACTTTGAAAGCTGGGATTTCCTTGAACAACTTCTCTTCCCACCCTGTCTACCTCCCAATAGCTGTGGAAATGATCCCAAGAAAAACCATTTCGAATTACCAAAACATTACATGTTAGGCTTTACTTTGGTTAGAATACAAAGTTTAGATCTACCATAAGTAGAACTGTTCCATTTGGTTCCCATATGTGTGCCTAAGTGCTTTGACTCTAATATACTATGTATCATATCTAACACCTGACTCACTGTCCCTCCTCATGTACTCAGCTCATTGGCCTCTGCCTTTAGACTAGAGATATCAGTTGATGTTTCTTCAAACAGTCTGACTTTCCAGTTCCGCAGTCACCCCAACCCTAACCCTAGATTGTTTCACCATCTACTTCTTCCACCTCTGCTCACAGGCGACTGAACGGAGCTAGAGGAAGTCAACCCAACTGTATTAACTGGGTCAAAATGCAACCCTATTTTACTTAATCTCAGGTATATATAATCACTGTAACAAATGTTTTTTTTAACTTCTTTTTCCTTCTTCTTCCAGCTTTTGAAGGGGGTACCCTGTTCTTTACCAAGGCCAGCTCTTGTACTTGTACCCTTGATGCCATCTCCTACAGTGGAATTCCCCTGTGATCAGCCCCTCCCTAATCTTCCAATCTGTCCTTGTCTCCTGCTGTGTTCCATGCTGCCTACAAACATGCCCTCCTTTAAAAAACTTTCACTTGATCATAACATCCCTCAAGCTATCTTCATATTTCGTGTTTCTCAATACTCATTCTTTAAAAAACAAAACAACAATAACTCTATCTCTTATTACCTTCATTTCCTCTCCTTCCTCACTTCCCTGCTCCTTTCATTCTGGCTTCCAACACTCACTACTAAACTGAAATTAATTTTTCCATCATTACCAGTCATCTCTTTGTTGCCACATCCAACATGACCTTTTTCTCAAAACTCATTCTTCACCTTTCTGTGGCATTTGACATTGTTGACCACTCTGTCCTTTGGATACTGTTTCCGACCTGTCTGAACACTTCTCAGTCTCCTTTCTGCATCATCATCCATATCACACTCTTTAATTGTGGGAGTAACCCGAAGCTCTGTCCTGGGGCTCTCTTTTATTTCTACACTCTTTCAGTGACCTTATAACTTCGATGGGTTCACTTATTTTTAGGCAGTTGACTCCCACATCTCTGTTGAATATAAATTTGTCTTTGTATCCCCCACACTTGGTGCCCTCAGAGATGTTTTGTGATTGATACATATTCAATTAAGCTTTAATTTTCTTATAGGATATTAATGCACATGCCTGTGTGACTGGCAAGCCCATTAGTCAAGGTGGTATCCATGGGCGTATCTCTGCCACTGGTCGTGGTGTCTTCCATGGAATTGAAAACTTCATCAATGAGGCTTCTTACATGAGTCTTTTGGGAATGACTCCAGGATTTGCAGATAAAACATTTGTTGTTCAGGTAATTATTTTTATTTCTTTTAAAGTTAGTTAAATAAACATTGGAAATATTTGTTTTAAAATGTTTTCAGAAACTTTACTTTTCATCCAAAGTAGATAATACTGCAAAATTTTGCCATATAAAACAATTCAACTGGGATTAATGAAAAGAAATATTTTTTATATACTGTAATAGTTTAAAGCCAGTGATTCTAATGCTAGGTGTATACTTTTTTGATATGAACTGAGGGACACACTTTCTTCAGTGGTAAGGACTGGTTTAGAGGTCTTTGCTGTTTGTGGAATGTTCCCACTCTCCTCTTCCTATGCTTCAACCCAAACTTTGTATCCAAAAATAACAAGAACCTTTTAAGCAAGAGTCTAAAAAGTTTACTGAATAATGAGATTGAGCAAATGAGAAATAATTCATTATAAAATAGTGATAAATCTCTAATGGTGTTTTTATGTTTTTTATTGGAGCATCAGGGGCCTAATCATAACCATTGTTACTCCTTCAGCCAGAGAATAATTGTTATATCTGGAATAATGAGAATAATACGGCCTAATAATTACACATTGTCCTCTTGGTTGCGTAATAAGCAGAAAAATGTTCACCACATCCTCTTATTAGAGGAAGCACACATTATTAATTTGATTATCTAGAGTGAATCCATGGGGTCATTATGGTGAAGGGAGCTATACAGGGCCTGCTCTGAAGGGAGCCCTTTAGTCACACTCAGACCTTGCCCTTAAAGGGGTTTCTGGCCAGGAGGTACACAGCCTAGCAGGGGCCACACATTCTGTAAAACAGTACATTTCTTTTAAACTTTGGAACAAGAAAGATTTTACTCTTCTCTCTTTTCTCCGCCTCCAACTTTATGAGTGTGTGTGTAGATTTTACTTGATTTTAGTTTATAGCTTACTTTATACAAGTCATAAGGAAAACCCTTTTCTTTACACTGGAGTCACCTAGATTTGACACCCACTAACTGTAACAGGGCAAACCATTCAGCGTCTCTGCTTCCTTTTTTTTTTTTTTTTTTTTTTTAATTTTTTTTTTTTAGGCAGTTGGGGTTAAGTAACTTGCCCAGGGTCACACGGCTAATAAGTGTCAAGTGTTTGGTCTGAGGCTGGATTTGAACCAGAGTTCAAAATCCTCCTGACTTCAGTGCCGGTGCTCTATCCACTGCGCCACTTAGCTGCCCCCTGTCTTCCATTTTCTTCATCTCAACAATGGAGATATATCCGTGATAGTTATGAGGTGGCTGTAAGGATCAAATGAGCTAAAATCCTTGTTATTTTCGGGGAAGAGCACTGGAGTTGAAGTGAGAAGGTGACTGTGGGCCAGTCCTTTTACTAGTATTTTCATCTGAATGATGACGCGGTGAGACTATGTTCTCAGAAGCCAAAAAGGGAGTACCTAAATCTTCTCTTGTATTCCAAAGACCCTAAGTGGTCAGACTTTATTTATATTCAACAGGTGACTTACCCTTTAGGTAGGAGCCAAATCCTATGTTGTCATAGTTATTGGCAGTGGCATTGAGACATGCCTCTAAAAGGAGGGTGTATCTTGGCAAAATAAGCTCTCCAGCTGGAAATGAGTTTGCATTATGGTATTAGGTGAACATACAACAGGGCTGTGAGTTGAAGGAGTTGTCATGCAATCTCAGTCATGATGTAAACTGGCTCTGCCTCTGGGCAGGTGACCACACGGTTTCCTCAGGCTCATTCTAAGGCAGTGCTGCATAAATGCCTATGCATAGATGTATGTGTGTGTCACACGCTGTTCCTTCTTCACAGGGATTTGGTAACGTAGGCCTTCATTCGATGAGATACTTACATCGTTTTGGTGCTAAATGTGTTGGTGTTAGTGAATATGAGGGCGGCATATGGAATCCAGATGGCATTGACCCCAAGGAGCTAGAGGATTATAAATTGGTATGTCACCCTTGGGAATGATCTGTAAAGTCTCTGAAAGAATTTTCTGTCTCCATGTACATTTACTGTGGTTACTTTTACAGGAATTAGTTTTACTTATAATGTCCTTTACAGAAATTAGTTTTACTTATAATTCCCTTTACTGGTGTTTACTACTTATAAAGAAAGGCTCAAACATTTATCATTGCATATAGAATCATTCTTATCTTGTTGGGGGTGAGTGGTGGCCCTTTAAGTTAATTATGGCATGGTAGAATTCTAATGCAACCGTTTCTTCTGTTTTTTCAACAACAGCAACATGGAACAATTATTGGCTTCCCTAAGGCAAAGCCATTTGAGGGAAACATTTTGGAAGCAGAATGTGACATACTTATTCCTGCTGCCAGTGAGAAACAGTTGACTAAGTCCAATGCACCCAGAGTCAAAGCAAAGGTGAGACTGTATATAGAAAGGTTCAATTGTATCTCTGTCCCACCCTTCCCCCCCCCAACTGCATCTTTTCAGCAGGAGGAAATTAGTTGTAGGTGTGGAATACTGCAGTCTACTCTCAGGTTCACTTGATGTTTGATTCATTTGGTTAAGCTGCTTTTTCCCCCTCCTTTTTTGTTGTTTGCTATAAAGGATAACTCTGGATTGGCACAGGAAGGGGTATATTTATAAGTTGATGACATAAAAACAAAAGATGAATTATAGTTTTTAAAGGAAAGAAAATCCCATATTGACCTCCTACTTCCCTTCCTTCCCTGCCTTCTCCCCTTCCCCCAAAAAAGGAAAGAAATCTTCAATTAGATATTATTAACATGGACTAAAGTTATTAATGGTTTCATGAAAGATTACATTTAGATTTTCTCAACAAAGCATTGTATGAATGGTCATCTTAACACTATTATTAAGGGTCTCTTCTTTGAAAGATAAGAATGTTGAAGGGGGTCTTGCAAGAGGCAACCTTGAAAGGGTACCCTATTATTTTAATTTTTAGTCATTTAAAAGAATAGTAGGAGCTGAATAAAGCTGCTCCCGTCTTTGGTAGAATGTATTTGTATGACCGTTGCCCTGTGACTCTCCTTTTTAGATCATTGCTGAAGGTGCCAATGGACCCACAACCCCAGAGGCTGACAAGATCTTCTTGGAGAGGAATATTCTGGTTGTGCCTGTAAGTTGTTGTCATCATGGTCTCCTTGTTGTCATTGTTTCTAATGGATCCTAACACTTTTACAGGTAGTGGGGATTGTCATGTCATGATTTGCACAAGAAGTTGGTAGGATCATGATTAGCAGAAACTTTTCTTTTAACTTTTAAAACTCTAGCTTAAGGTTATTAGAAATTGTCATGGATTGTCAAGCTAGGTTACATTTTCCCTCAGTTTCTTCAACTGTAAAATGAAGGCGCTCAAGGACTGACTAGATGCTCTGAGGCCCCGGCACCATCTGACGTAATCCCATTGCTTCCATGCTTAGAACCAGGATCTGAGAAGGCACTTTAATGTGGTTCTCTGGTGGTGGGGGACAGAAGCTGTATTCTGTAACAATGTTTCAGTGGACCAGTGAGAAGAAAAGTCCTCTCCCATAAGGCTAGAAAACATCTACACCTGCTGACTATAGGAGAAAGGCTTGAAAGAGTTTACATTGTCAGATCTTACAAAGGGTGATTCCCCTTCGGTATTGGAATTCTAACGTCATCTGTCCATGTTCATTATGACGGTTCTGCATGCACAGATGAATTGCTGATATTTCATTTGTGATATATTTTTGTGTCTAGGATCTCTTCTTGAATGCTGGAGGTGTGACAGTGTCCTACTTTGAATGGCTGAAAAATCTCAACCACGTCAGCTACGGCCGTTTGACATTCAAATACGAAAGGGATTCTAACTATCACCTGCTCAGTAAGTGCTGAGAAGTCTTAGGGCCAGTGAGAGGATCATTAGAATACTAATTGAGATTGTCTTTGGGCTTTTCACACTTTTCATAAAGCTGGAGAAATTTAATTTGAGAAGAAAAAGTAAATAAGAGTAGAAGAGTTTACTTTGACACAGACCTGTGAGAAGGGAGGCTGGATAGATGATGTTAAATACATGTTATTTTCGGCTGTGGAAGGGCACTGCCTAAGGGACATCTGGCACCCAGCTGTGTTTAAAGTCATGGCCGAGGGTTTTGAGAATAAAATGACACCAGCTGTCCCTGGAACAGAACTGGGCCGCTGGCTTGGGCCTTTCCTTGTTTTCAGCCAATGCCAGAATTAATTGTGGAGATTTCATCTTTGATGAAGAACAACGTTGGCCCTGAAGGTGGTTCTGAGAATAGGGATTTGCTGTCACATCTGAAGTTTGGGTGAAAATTTTTATTTGCACCTGTTTCCGTTGACCCTTCCCACTTGGCATTTTCTCTTTAACAAGCTACACTTGTTAAGATACCCTTAGTGTAATGGTTATTATGGAAACAAAACAATAATCTAAGTTCACATTTGAGTAGAAACTTTGACAATGTTAAAAGTCTCCTTTCTAACACAACGTTTAGTGGGATAGATGGAAGAGCAGGACATGATCATCATATGTTTAAGAACTTTGAATTTCCATGTTGATTTTTAATTATGTCATTGTCCATTTTTCTCCCATTTCTCTCTAATCTTATTTATTCTTGACTTCCTTTTTCCCCCCAGTGTCTGTTCAAGAAAGTTTAGAAAGAAAGTTTGGCAAGCATGGCGGTACTATTCCAGTTGTACCCACAGCAGAATTCCAGGACAGGATATCGGTGAGTAACTTTAGCAGGATCATCTTTTTTGCATTGATTATTCTTGGTACTCAGGCCCAGTAAATTGGAATTGATTTGAAGTTTTGTGTTCTACAATAATTGAGGTGCTAATAGCTTTGATATGCTCGGACATTTTACACCTTCTACCTGAGTACATTCTAAATGTGGAGTGAGCCTTCTAGTCCCATGTGTCTGATGGCTGATAATAGTAAAAGAAGTTAATGTGTTTATTATGTATCTTAATAGGATTATGAATGGTCTTTGTACAAACAAAATAGATTCCATTTTTAACTTTCTAAAATGAAAAAAAATTTAACATCTACTGTGTTCTGTTAGCTCAATACTTGCAGTATTTGCTCATATGTTTGGCTAGGGACTGAACCTGTGATGTCATTGGTCTAGCAGACTCTTGAGTGAAGGAGTTCCCCTCCACCTGTGCAGGTCGGCAGGCACCTTCTTGGCCCCTTCTGGTATTAGAGTTGCCTAGAGCACTGAGGGTAGGTGACTTGCCCAGGGTCACACAACCACTGGGTGTGAGAGCCAGGACTGAGCTCTTCCAGGCAGGTCTTCCTGGCTTCTGAGGCCAGCTGCATTGGCTCTTCAGCACTGCCTCCTGTTGCTCATGTTAATTACTGAAATCAAAAAGGACGTTTTCACAATTTATCACCTCAGTCTAGTTGAAAGTCCCTATAGCAAATAGCACTGGTGTGTACTATTAAAACTGAGGAATGAAAAGTGCCCTTTAGTAGTGGTCTGCTTTTTCTCAAATGAAAAAGAGTGGAGAAAGGTTTTTATCCTCCACATAGTATGATTAAACTGTCAAGGAATATTTTTTTCTGTACAAAATATTGACCAAAAGTTAACTTTTGGTAGCATGAGATCCATGACCAGAATATACCATTTTCCCTTCTGACATTGCACAAGAATAGCTCAGGTTTTCTACGAAAACAAACAGGGCTGGATCTGATCTAATCTGAGTACATAGTTCTGTCTTGACCATGTGGTTCCTGAGCTGTATCTGTTCAGTGCCTTTAATATCAAGACTGCTAAAGGCAGTCTTTCTTCAATTTAAAAAAATGGAGAATTCTTAAACTGGAAACTATTTTGGATTATTTATATGATCATAGCAAATTACTTTACCCTGTGTGTGTGCTGCTTCCCCCCCACCTGAATATTTCAGTCTCCCAATGTGGTTGGACTGTCTGACTGTAAGAGGCACCTGGAACCTAATAACAGCCTTTCCTGTGGTCAGAGAGCCTGAGTGGAACCTCACTGAACCTGATGTCATGAGGCGGTGGGAGAAGTCCCCCTCCTCCCACTTGCCCCAAACCGTGTATCCAGAAAGTCTGCTTCTGAACCTCAGTTCTCTCACCTATGAACTAAGGCTAAGTTACTCTCCCCCCATAATTCATTTATTTCCATGTCATATAGTGAGGCATGCCTTCATTCACCACATGCTTCTCTTGAATGATGGCCCTATTTAAAGGGACATTTGGACAGAATATAGATGTCACAGCTCCTTTATAATGGGGTTTTCCTATTCCTATTGATAGTTGTGGAGATGGCCTGCAGGCATGAGGAGCCTTCTTCTAAAAATCACATTACAAAAATGTTTATAAAGATCCACCTGACTTTTGCAGAAATACTTGTGAGTGCCCAAATTTCAGTCATGACTATTCCTTCTCTGTTTTCCCACCATAGGCATATTCATTTGATTAAAAACATATGCTTGTACGGCAGTTTTAAAATTAGGTATACTCATAACCAAGTGTTGAGTCTTTCTAATGTATTTATAGGTGTCAATTTTTAGTTGGCAGTGGGGAAATAAAAGGGGACAGCAAAAGAATGTTTTGTTAAATTCATTTTCTGTCTTTGCAGGGAGCGTCTGAGAAGGACATTGTACACTCCGGGTTAGCATATACGATGGAGCGTTCTGCCCGGGTATGTAAGCAGAAATAATATTGTTTTGTTTTCTGCCAGTCATATCAGAGGTAGCTCAAAAGTGTCATTTTTCTTGAACTTTAATAATATCAGTTTTAGCTTCTACTAAGTACAGGTCCTACAGATTTTCCAGCATTATACCAAAGAGTCTTTCTAAACTCACCTTAGTGCATGTGTGCACAGTACACACAACACACACACACACACACACACACACACACACAGTCTTGCTTGAAATTGTGCCTTTAGATCCTATATCACTTAACCCTGAAATGTTAGTGCCATTCATTAGGGAATTATCTTGGGCATTAAAATGATTTTGTTCTAGAACCAGGGCACATGTACCAGATATAGAAGAAACTGGCCACAACCTCCAGATGTTGAGGATTCTAGATTCCCAGTTCTGTTTAAAGTCCTGATGCTTATAGGCAAAGAAGATTGAAACATGAGGAAACTTATCTGTCTTAAATATGTGAATGTCACATTAGTTCTCGGGGGAAGGGTGGGGAGTAGCATTTGTCTACCTTGAGTCATAGGCTTCTGTTTATGAATTTGTTTGTTTTTGTTTTCTGTTTTCTCTTTTTTGATCTTAATGAAAATATCCAAAATGCCTACTGGGGCCCCTTACACATGGTAAAAATATTTGCAGGAACATCTCAAAGTCTGACTTTCATAGAATTTAGTTATTTGCATTATGGGGCAGCTCAGTGCTGTAGGGGCTAGGATGCTGAGTCTGGAGTCAGGAAGACTCATCTCTCCTGAGTTCAAATCTGGCCTCAGATACTTCCTAGCCGTATGTCCCTGGACAAGTCACTTATCCCTGTTTGCCTCAGCTTTCTCATCTGTAAAATGAGCTGGAGAAGGAAATGGCAAACCACTCCCATTATCTTTGCCAACAAAACCGTAAATGGGTCATGAAGACTGAACAGCAACATTATCAATAGATAAACACATAGGTTATAATCATTTTAATCACAACTTTTTTTTAACTTCAATAAATAAGACTGGTTCTGTTAAGCTGTTGCATTAATCAAGGTTGGATAGCCACAGCCTGTTGTATGTCTTATTTGCTAATTATGGGGGCTTTTTAAGCATAGATGGCCAAGTTGCTTACTTTGACATATTTTCCACTCTACATTTCAGCAAATTATGCGCACTGCCATGAAGTATAACCTGGGGCTGGACTTGAGAACTGCTGCTTATGTCAACGCGATCGAGAAAATCTTCAAAGTGTATAATGAAGCCGGTTTGACCATCACATAAGCGAGTTAGCAGTGCTCCTGTCTTGGCATTCTCTCTTCACCACCTCCTCCTGTTCTACATCCTCTTCCAGCCTATGACAAGTTTACATGTAACCACAGAAATATCTTTTCCCTCATGATTTACTGTAGTGGACACTTCTCAACCAGTTTCAGTCCAAATTAGTCTTTAATTTTTTTTTAAACTCAGATTCATGGGTCTAACGATAACTAGTTTGCTCAGTTGAGGGCCATATGGTGTGTTTTGCTACTCGGTGAAATGCCTTCTCTCTATGGGCATACCACCTGCTCCTGAGGCTGCCTCCCTACCTCAGGAGTCATCTGCTACAGCAGGCGAACGTCCGGTGGCTCATATTAGCAGTCAGCTCCCTCACTCCCTCACTGCTCATTGCAGTTTTGGTGAATGCTGTGACCTGCCTGAGACTTTCCAGGGGGCTTTATTATGACTAAGATGGCTGTCCTGCAGGGAGTTAGATTGTTACTTTACATCAGCAAAATACCTCCATCTGACTTGTTGCAGAATTATAGACTTTTTCATTAGTCAACGTTTTCCCTTTTTAAGAAAAAAACAGAAAACAAAACCATGCTGCTGTAATAGAATTGCCTTTAATCATTTATCAAACCTAACCTTGACTCAAGCAGTGAGATGCCTATAAATGTGGATGAAAGAAGCTAGTATTTTTATAACCTGAAAAGAACAGTATCATTTATAGTTTATCAACTGTGTACAGTTATCCAGCAGAAACTAAAATCCAGTTCATAATAGTCAAGTTCTCCTCTTTGTAACTCAACTGATGAATGGGGCTTGTTTTTCTTTTAACATTTAAAAATATTCTGAACTTTGCTAAATATAATCCTGACATATACTCCGACGAATTTAGTAACCTCTTAATCATAATAAAAATGAGGTGGGGTTTTTGGTTTGTTTTGCTTTGAGATCTGATCAGATCTCAGATTGCTAGGTATTATGGTGCCTCGTTGAAAAATGAATTAAAATATGAAGTCTAACCAGAAACAATTTTGGCCTTGTCATTTGGACCCTAGCTGGCTGCTATATTGGCCAATGACTTTAGTCTCTGGAAGTCTTTGTATTTTCTCTTTATTTAGAGACCTCACATTCTGAATATAATCAAGCCCAACAAAGTGGCCCTTGACACAAAATTGGATCAGATCTGGTGGTTTTATTTTGTTTTTGGACAAGTTCACTTCTTGGGGTTATTTGGGGAAGCGTTTTGTCTAGAGTCCCAGTGAAGTGCCAGATATTATTTATATAGTGAAAGAATTCTCCGTCTCCCCCCTTTTTTTAACAGAAAAAAAAAATCACAAATTTCATGGTTTTTTTTTTCTAACTACTTTGTAACTGTATGACTTAACAGGTTGATAAAAGCAGTTATTAAAAGTTCGTCTTTTTCAAACCTATTGTTTCTTGTTTTTTTAAAATTTCTTATCTAATTGTGTATTTCAGTATATTCAGATGATATATTTTCATCCTGAGGCCAACTCAGTGTTTTGTGAGGCCCTTCCTGGAACCCTGTAGTTGTGAGAAGGCCCAGCCTCACTTCTCCCTCTTCAATACTGGCTCATCCTCTTGGGCTTCCCTCCTTCCACCTGAGCTGCTTCCTTTCCCCTCCTCCCTCTCTGACCTCATTCTTCAACGATTAGCATAGTTCGCTCCATCAAACACTCTCGTCCGGCAATTCTGAAACCCTGGCTATCATTGTACAAAAGCGATTCCCCATCCCCCTCTCTATTGTTCACAGTCCCAGCAACATCCCACTTTCTTTTTTTTTTCCTTTTTCTTATTTTTTGCTTTTTGGTGAGGCAGTTGGAGTTAAGTGACTTGCCTAGGGTCACACAGCTAGAAAGTGTCACGTGTCTTGAGGTCCGATTTGAGCTCAGGTCCTCCTGACTCCAAGGGCAGAGCTGTATCCACTACACCACCTAGCTGCCCCTAACATCCTATTTTCTGATCTACCCAACCCTTCCACTGTACTCTCTGGAATTCTCATCTTGAGGAAGGGCCCAGAGCAGCCATCGTTCCTCCAGACTTGGCCTCCATGCTTGAGTACCTTCACACACACACACACACATACCCGTATATCAGCTCACTTTTATATGTCATCTTCCCTCATTAGAGTGTAAATTCATTGATAGCAGGGATCGTCTTCCTTTTTGCTGGCCTTGGCACACATAGCAAGAGGTAAATAAATACTTGTTTATTTGACGTGTGCTCACTGAGACCAGACTTCCCAATAATGACATGTCCTCCTGGGCTGCCGTTTCTAGCAGTATTTACACTTTCCCTCAGACCCTTCCAGTCAGTGAGTGGTGAGGGAGTCATACTCCTTACCTTGCTTTTGCTACCTCTAGCACTCCCTGTACTACCATTCCTCCTTTCAGATTCATTCAACCCAAATATATCACCCAATTGAGATTCTAGTATCTTATTATCTACTGACACTTTTATGTTTGTTAGTGCCTGGTTCATAGTTATTCTTTCTGCCTTCATAATAGGAGACTTCTACAATGTTGACACTCGCTCAGATACCCTAACTTCACAGTTCCTTGACTTTTCTCATTTCCCATGACCTATTTCTCCACCCCACCCCAGCTACACACTAAGATGGTCATACCTTACTTGGATGCTCCACTTCCATATTCATGAACTTTGAAATTCCTTTATCAGATTTTTAAAATGATAACCCTTCATTCCATCTTTTCTTCTGTCTTATGGCCCCTAAGTCTTCTTCTTCATCTCCATTGTGACCTCAAGTCCCTCAACTCTGTTTTTTCTCACTGCTCTGGCTATGTTCTTGTCCCTTCCCCATCTTGACCCATTGGCAAAGCAGTTGAACTCTCCTCCGCTGTTTTCTTTCAAGTCACCTGCCTCCTTACCCTATCAAAGTATCAAAGATCTTGCCCTGGCAAGCTCCATCCTTGGATTACTCCCACAATCTGTTACCTTTCCTCCTATTCAGAAGAGAAGTGGGAGAAAATTACAAAACCATGATTGGGTGTACAATAGATTTATATTCACTTAATTCCAATTAAGCCCTCACTGCAGCAAAGCACTCCTTGGCTCCACCTGCCTCCATCCTATCAATCATCCTCATCCCCATATCTCAGATGCTTTCATTATCTCCACCCCTGTCTCCCATAATGAAGTAGCCCTTCTTGGCAAGGCAAACTCCTACATGCCCAAATGATCCCATTGCATCCCATCTTCTCAAACAGATTGCTCCTTCTATCATCCCATTCCCCACTAATCTTCCATTTCTCCCTGACTGAGGCTCCCAGGCTGCTTTCATGCTACTGACAACTATGCCCATGTCTCCCCCATCATTTGATCCAACCATCCCTGCTTGTTCTCATGCTGTATGCTCCCTTTCAGTGTAAACTTGAAGACTCAACAATCAGGTCTGTGCAGCTCTTTCCTCTCCTCTTCCTAACTGCAGTCTAGCTTTGGATCATATCATTCAACTCATTCAGCCCAAATTCCTCCCTTCAAAGTTAAGCTCTAAATGCCAAATATAATTGCCTTTTCTAAATCCTCATCCTTTTTGACTTCTCTGCAGCCTTTGATGTTGTTGAGCACCTCCTTTATTCTCTGATCTTTCCAGATTTTCATAGCATTGCTTTCCTGGTTCTCCTACCTCTCTGACTACTTCTCAGTCTTAGTTGATGAGCGTTCATCTAAGTCATGCTCATTAAAAGGATGTTTTCCCCAAGGCTCTGTCCTGGGCTGCCTTCTTACTCTAGACTATTTTGCTTGGTGGTCTCATCAGCTCCCATACATTCAACTATCATTTCTATTCAGATGATTCTTGGATCCATTTGTCCAGCCAGCCCTAACTTCTGCCCTGACCTCCAGTCTAGCATCTTCAACTGTCCTTTGGACATTTTAAAGTAGATGTCGTGCAGACATCTTAAACTCAACGTGTCCGAAACAGCTCATCTTTTCTTCAAATCTGCCTCTCTTCCTACCTTCCATATTATTGTGGTATGATATACCACCATCCTTCTAGTCACTCAGGCCCACAAAAATGTCTTCTTTGACTCCATATTCTCATCCCCACATTCAAGCAATTGCCAAAGCTTATAGATTTTGCTTTTACTGTTTTTCCTTCATTTTCGAAGACCAGTGATGTGGAGTAATGTCTTGATTTGCACAAGAATTGGATTTTTAAGTTACACAAAGTTGTCAGCCTCACTCCCTCTTCCAGTTATTGAAGTCCAGTGGCAGGACAAAAGTCAAAACAACTGGTGATGTCCCAGGATTCAGTGGATGACCTTGGCCTCTTCGATGTCTGACCAAGCTCACCTTCGTGGCCGTTGGAACACATTGTTCTCATCCTCATCTCCCCTACAAACCCTCCCTCCTGATACTGCCACCAGGCCCTCATCACCTCATGCCTGGACTATTGCAATAGCCTTCTGCCTCAAGTCTCTCGCCATTCTACTCCATCCTCAACTCATCAGCCAAAGTGATCTCCCTAAAATATAGGTCTGACCATGTCCCACCCCCACTCTCCCACATTCTGTAAATTCTAATGGTTCGCTATCACTTCCAGAATCAATATAAAGACCTCTTTGCATTCAAAGTCCTTCGTGGCCTGACCCCCTTCTGTTTTCCAGTCTTATACCACTCTTCCTCCCATATACTCTGTAATGCACTAATGCCTTCTTGTTCTTGTACCAGATGTTCCATTTCCTGACTGGGCATTTTTGTTTCATTTTATGCCTAGAACTCTTTCCATCCTTGTCTCTTCCTCCTGGCTTCCCTCAAGTCCTGGCTAAAATCCCACAGTCTACAAGAAAGTCTCTCCTAATCTTCCTTGAGCAGCTGGTACCTTCCCTCTGAGATGACCTCTCATTTAGCCTGTATATATCTTACTTGTACATAGTTGTTTGCATGTTGTCTCTCCCATTAGATTGTAAGCTCCTTGAGGCCAGGGACTGTTTTTTCCTTTTTTTATATCCCCAGCCCTTAATAAATACTACTTATTTGTAGTTAGGCCTAGAAACCTTCATTTAGCCCTGATGTGAATTGCTTTACTCTGCTGTGTTCTTTATTTGCTAAAAGGGTCACCCCTTTTAAAGGATTGTCAGAAGTTCTTTGTCCTATTATACTCTCCCTCCCTTTCCTTTTTGTCAAGTGTCTTGGTGCTGTCCTGTTTAATTTTGTTGTCCAGCACTAATGTCTCTTTTTGGTGAAAGATAATGTCATGGCGTTTTGGTCACTTTTCCAAATAGAATTGACATCTTTATCTCTTGGCCATATAAAGCACCCACATAAGAGCAAATATAGTCACACCCGTACACTTTAAAAACTCCTCTAGCTTCTCTTGAAATGTTTGAGGCTCTGAAGCACCATAGTGGCTTTTGAGGCAATGGTATATATTGTACAGTGGTGCATGTTTGTAATGTATACCAACATCACAAGTGGAGAGAAAGCTTTCGTGTTGGAGGAAACAAATTACTGGTGGTCAGGGGGATAAATGGCTTGGGATAGGAAGTGGGGGGTGGGAGTGGGGCATAGAGGGTAGGTCCTAGCAATTAGATGAAAGGCAGTAAAGTACTGGTGGGAGCTTGGGGTTCCAGTGGTATAGGATGCATTAAGAAATTCTGGCTCACTTAATCTTTGATATATTACGGTTTTGATATAACACATTGTTACATCTCCAAGGGTGTGGGTGTGGGTGTGGGTATGCATATTTTAGCAAGGTGACAGTGTCACTATAAATCTTTTCTTCCATCATATCTAGCTTCATTCTAGGTGCCACCTCTTAGTTGGAATGTTGAGAAGATGTAGTGTATGCTGAGGTAACTAACCAGGATGGTAAGAGGACTTGAAACTGCCATAGAATATTCTGTTTAGAATATATAGGGGAGAGGCATAACTATTTGTTTCCAACGTTTAAAGAATCATGTGTACATGTAATTGGAGGAAAAATATGTAAAATTTTTCCCCAAAAAAATTGTGGATATTACCTTAGACCTGTTTGACTTGACTCCTCTTTCCTCTCACCCCCAAAACAACTAAAGCTAAATATGAGAATGAAACCTGCTTGAAAATGGAATGGATCGATTTGAGGGTGGTATTCAGTTCTTTGTCTCTGGAGGATTTTTTTAATAGGAGGCTAAATAATCATCAAGAAATTCATGCTTCAAGTAAGAAATGAACTACATTAGCTCTGAAGTCTCTTAAGTTTCTATGATATGAACTGTTGATTTTTTTATCATTAACTTGGATATAGCATTAAATTAATTCTCTAGACACATTGATAAATTTGATTTACAATAATTACACTGCTTAGTTTGCAAGAAAGAGTTGTAACATTTAGTTGATTTTGTAGTATTTAGGTCCAAGTTTCAAAAGAAAATCTAGCAGGTAAAGTTATTTGTTAAACCGATCTTTTTCATAAAAAAAAAAGGTAGAATATGGTCAACTCGACTACAGTCTTTACATTGGCTTTAAACCAGCTGGAGCAGAGTTGAACAATCTTACCCTTGACCCTTAGAAGCTGCAGCCGATTAAAAAAAAAATTAGTAACTATCCAAACTTATTAGATTTAGAAATAGGAGTTGGGTAGGTAATAAACATTTAATTTGATCAGCAGAGTATCCTGCAACACCTTCAGCCAATAAGTGTGACTACAAACAGCGCTCACCAAATCACAGGATTGACCACCAAAAAAATCTGAAAGGCTTCTGAGGCTCTGACTGTTCTGAAAGATGCCTAAGAAAAAGTGCCCTACGGGGGGCACGAGGAGGCCATGTTAGGTTATGTTAGAGTTCTAATGAGAACCTCAAGGTTAGAAATATTTATTCTGCTGCAAGCCGCCTGGTTTGAAGCAAATTAGGGGCCGATCCTGAACTATGTCAAAGCAAGAAAGAGCTGCAGCTGATTAACCATGAACTAAGTAGAGAGGCTGCTTACTATAACAACCAAAAAATGACCACATTAGCAAAAAAGAATAAGAATAAAAATAACTAGCATTTATATAGTGATCTAAGGTTTGCAAAGCGCGTTGTTATCTTATTTAATCCTCACAACAACCCTAGGTACTAGTTATCCCCATTTAACAGATGAGGAAGCTGAGGTGCAGATTGCCTTACAGGACTTGCCCAAAGTCACTGTTAGTGAGTGTCTGAAGCAGGATTTGAATTCAGATCTTCATAACTCTATCCACTACACCACTCAACTAGAATATTTCCTATGAAAGTACAAAGGGTGGGCAGAGAGGCAGTGTGATATGACTGTGGCTTTACAGTCAAGGGATCTTGATTCAAAATTCAGCTCTGCTATGCCAGCTCTGTGTGACTTTTCTTGAGTCATAAAACCACACTGGGCTCCAATTTCCTCACCTTTATCCCAGATGTGGCTAAATTAAATCCTCCCTCTTTCAAATTGATTTCTAGGATACCCACGTACCCCAGTCATGCCACTGCTGGAAATATGTTCTTGCCTTCAGAGGTAGGAGAGAGGATTTGGTTTTTGGAATCTACCCGAAGGCACACATAAGATAGGAGGTGGGCAATCAAGCTGGGTGCTAAGAGGTTTCATTTGCTTTTTTAGTCAGGGTGGGGGAGGAAAACTCCAGTCCCTTGGCTCTTTAAAAAAATACTCTATATATTAGTATATGAATATAACCTCCTGAGATATCTATTTTGGGAAACAATACTCATTTGGATGGCAAATAAATTGCCTTTTATCGGTCTCACCTTGTACTTTGAACAGAAGCTAACTAATCAGATAAAGGATTTTATAAAAAACCGTAAACATAGGCATTTAGACAGGGCCAAGGCAAAAACTGTTACATACTCTTTAAAAAATGATCCAAAGTTCTTTCTATTAAGCAAATAGCTATTGATCGAAAAGGCTGGTTCTGGGTCAGGTGAATCATCTGTTTACAAATTAATCCTCTATTTTACCTAAGGCTTTTAACAGAAATGGTCATTAACCTGCGGCAGCATCTCAAAGTGGGAAGAAAAACAGGCATTCCTGTTCAGGCTAATTTAAAACTTGCAGAGATCCTGAAAGGTTGGCAAGTTGAGGAACTGAGTGATTGTTTAGGACTTTGGAATTTAGAAAATTTAAGTTATAGAGGAGTACCCACAACGAAGAAATGGGAGATGCTTGAAATATTTGCTTATACTTTGTCATTTGCACCCTTCAAAGTAAAGAGTACAAACATCCCATGACCTCAAACAGAGAGATAAGCTTGCCTAGGGTCACGTAGCTACTAGGCAGGAAGGCCAGGGCTCAAACCTAGATTGGCTGATTATAAATCCAGTGCTCTTCCTATCCACATTGCCTCACCACAGATGGTGTGAATCCATCTTCTTGGTGGCATCTTAATTTTTCCTCACCTGCAAATAGCTTGGGCTGCGTTGTTGTTGTTGAGTCACGTCCAACCCTTCCTGACCCTATTTGGGGTTTTCTTGACAAAAATACTGGAGTGGTTTGCCAGTTCCTTTTCCAGCTCATTTACATATGAGGAAACAGGCAAACAGGGTTAAGTGACTTGCCCAGGGTCACACAGCTAGTAAGTGTCTGAGGCTCGATTTGAACTCAGGAATATGAGTCTGTCTGCCTCTAAGCCCAACGTTCTAGGTACTGTCACCTAGCTGCCCTCGGGCTGCATAGTCCTTAGCAATGAAAAGCTGCTAATAAAAGTCATCAACTAAATAAGTATTTACAGGCTACAGTAAATAGAAGTGGAGGAGGATAGGGAAAAGTCCCATATGACTTATCTTCCAGATCTTCTGGTGTACTTAATGGGTAATATCAAAATTCAGATTCTCTAGTAATAATCTAGCATTTATATAGCACTTAAAGGTTTGCAAAATGCTTTACAGATATGATCACATTTGATCCTCACAACCACCCTGGGAGGTGGAATCTATTATTATTATCCCCATTTTACAGATGGGGAAATTGAAAAAGAAAGGTTTGGTGTCACATCTGCTAAGTGTCTGAGGTTAGAGTCTTCCTGACTCCAAGTTCAGCACTCTATCCACTATACCACCTCTGAATAGGATTAGGTTATAATCTGCCACCTAGCAGATTATATTGAAATAATACCAGAATCTGCCAACAGGAATGGTTTTGAAGAAGACCTTAGGCAAATGAACCAAAATATAATCAATACTTCAGGTCCCCTTCAAATATTGGAGTATTGGTGGTTGTTTGCCTAGTTTGTAAGTTGGAGTTGAAATTTTGTTAAGAAATGTTTAACACCTATGCTAGAAATCCTTAAGGAGTCATATGGGAATAACCTCTCTAGGAGAGAAACATAATTACTTGTTTGTACACTGTCAAACTATTGCCCTACTTTCAATACATAGAATGCCAAGTGCATAGGAGTTCATAGGTTCATAGATTTATAGCTAAATGGGACCTTAGGGCCCATCCTACCCAACCCTCCCAAGGCCACAAATTTAGTGGCAGCATAAATATTTGATCCAGGGTCTTTTGACGCAAATCCAGTACTCTTCCCACTGTACCATGAGTTATTACTCAGTTGTTTGGAGGATTTGAATCATTAGAGGGGAAAAGACTTTCTCTTAATTTCTTTTCCAGTGGTAAACAATGAAATCAGTACTCAAAATAGAATTCACATGGCTTTTTTATTGTGCCCAGGCTGTGATGGTGGTGCTGATTATTGTCCCAGTTTGTTCAGTCCCTCGGTGGCATGCATTATTGTGTTGGTCACTGTGTTGGTCACCTCCTTCATAGCTTTTTCTTCAGTTTCCTTTGCAGCTTTGACTACATTTTCAATGGCTTTGGAGGATAAAGAGAAGAAGAAGGTATGAGTAAAAGAATATTGTTCAGCTTCTTATTTGTATTATGGCATAAGATCTAGCAGGTCCTTCTGAATTATACCACACAAATTGTCTGTTACTCTGAAATGATGCTGTTAACTTAATGATTTTTTTCTTTACCAAATGGAACCCAAGGAACAGGCAATGAGAAGGCAACACTTTCCTTGACCAGTCAAAGTCCTTCCACTTAGTCTTAAGTATCCCATAAGTAACTGAGCTTGTAAAGGTTGCCTGTCTCTTGGGGGCATTTTTTTTCTGATTGGTTTTTCAAAGTAACATGTTCTCTGGCTATAAAAAAAAAAAACTTAAGACAATTTCATGGATGTGAGTAACAAGAAAAGAAAAATTATGCCAAAATAAAGGCTGGTGTCATCGAAGAGAAAAGAGAATTTGACTTTATGGGCCCACTTTAGCCATACCGCCTTATATTTGACTTTATTTATCCTTAAATTCTCTAGTTTAGAATTTCTCATACCTTTCTCACCAGCTTCCTTGGCATGTTCCACTACTTCCTTGACCACTTCCTTAACCACTTCTTCAGCCTTGTGGACTAGAAAGAAGAGAGAGCACAAAACAGAAATAAGTGGTCCTAAATTTCTGCAACTTTGCATAACCCTAAACTAATAAATTATAATATGTTTAATAATATATAATATAATATAAATTTTTTGTTTCCAATTCTAATTCAGACTAATTCAATATGATTTGTTCACAAATGAGTCCATTTATTGCAAAAATAAGTGAATCAACAAGCTTTTATTAAGTACCTACTATGTGCCAGGCACTATGCTAAGTGATGGGGATACCAAGAAAGGCAAAAGACAGTCCCTACTCTCAAGGAGTTCATAATCTAATGAGAGAGATGACATGCAAATAGCTATATACAACAAGGTCTATACAGTATATATAATTTATATTTATATATGTATGCACATATACACAGGATATATTGATAAAAAATATATATAGTATAAATTGAAGGTAATCAATGGAAGGAAGGTATGAGTATTGAGGAGGATATGAAAAAGCTTCTTGTATAAAGTGAGATTTTAACTGAGACTTGAAGGAAGCCAGGAAGACTAGGCAATAGAAATGACAGGGGAAAAATTCCAGGCATAGGGGACAGAGTGAAAATGCCACCAGAATTAGAAGATAGAGCAAGGAGGTCAGTGTCACTATTGCAGTGGAGGTGGGGTTTGAAAAGGGAATAAAGTAAAAGAAGACTGGAAAGGTAGGAGGGTTGAGGTTATGAAGATTTTACCTTTGATCCTGGACGTAATAGGGAACCATTGGAGTTTATTGAATGCAAGCTGGGGGAGGGGGGTGTCGAGGGGCAGCAGCATGATCAGACCTGCACTTTAGGAAGATCCCTTTGGCAGCTGAGTAGAAGATGGACGAGAGAGGGGAGACGTGGGAAGGAAGTCAACCAACCAGATATTGCAATAGCCTAGGTGTGGGAGATGAGGGTCTGCACAGGGTAGTGGCAGTGAAAGAGAGAAGGGGGCTTACAGGAGAGATATTAAGAAGGCTTTGGCAACATGTAGATATGTGAGCGAGAGAAAGTGAGGCATCAAGTAAGCCTGGGAGATTGGGAGGGTGGTGTTGCCTTCAATACCAGTACATACTAATAACAGGAAAATTAGGAAGAGGAGAAGGTAGAAGAAAGACAAGGAATTCCATTTTGGACATGTTGAGTTTAAGATGTGTATGGGATATCTGTTTCAAAACATGTCCAATAGGCAGCTGGAGGTAGAAGTCTGGAGATTAGGAGATTACAGGTTAGAGACAGATAAACAGATCTAAGAAAACAATAAATTAAAAACTCCAGTGTCAAAGGGGCTTTAAAATATTAGAGATCTAACTCTCTTTAGCTCTATGAATAGAACAATTTTAACAAAACAACCTATGATCTAAAATAGCGGCTCACTACAAACTTTTTTCAAGTTCAAATTTTAGAAAGTTGATTCTCATCTCAGTTTGCCTTTGTTCTAGACATTTCCTCTGGACTCTCAGCAATATTCAGAGCTTCATTCTCCCTCCTAGTAACGAGTAAGGCATCTCTATCCATAGGTTGTTTGGTAAAAAATCCCTTCCAGGCTCCTTGTCAAACTGGTCAGACTATCAGTCAAAAATATACTTAAGATACAGAGTTTACATTTCTTTTGACTACTTTGTTTTAGCATGGCCCAATAACTGTGAAAATAGTTCACTGCCAGAGATGTCAACTTATTTTTGACGCTTGTAACAATTGATTGTCAAGCAAAATAAATTCTTACGTTGGCCATGATCAAAAATGTGTGTCTCAAGTCTCAGTTAGAGTCCCGCCATCTACAAGAAGACTTTCTTAGTCTTCCTTGAGCTTAAAGCCTTCCTTCTGAAATGCTCCCAATTTATCCCATCTATATCTTGTTTGTACATCATTATTTGCATGTTGTCTTTCCCATTAGATGGTGAGCTCCTTGAGAGCGTAGACTGTTTTTTTGCCTTTCTTTGTATCCCTATCACTTAGCATAGTGCCTGACAACATAGTCACTACCACTTAATAAATTTGAGTTGACTGCCTGACTGACGTCCATCACCCTTCTGTCAGGGGGTCCTATGGAATTGTGGTCAATCATTATGTTGCTCAGAATTCTTAAGTCTTTCAAACTGCTTCTTTTTACACAGTTGATGTTATAGTTTAAATTGTTTTCCTGTTTCATGATGCCAGAACTCTAATAACCCCAACGTCGTTCCTTAGTTGGGCAAGACTTTCAAAATCTGAATCTCAGTTTTCCTTTCTCTGAAATGAGAATATTACTGGAAATACCCACCTCGGTACCTTGCTGTGAGGAAAGTAAACATTTAAAAATTTGCTAACTTGTTAAATTTGCTGGGAGTTAAGCTTTGTAAGCACTATGTACTGTAAGTAAGTATTGGAAATCCAGGGGGCAGGACTGTGAAGAGCATGGGCAGTCAGAGAATGGTACATATCCCAATTTCAAGTTCCCAACCACTTCTATTTCTTCATTTATTGTGAGACAGTATTCTAGAATTGATATTCTAGTTCTTTTTTTTTAATTGAATCATTGGGCCTAGATCACGGATTATACTTAAGCAGAGACTTATTTTGCTTGCTGCACCGCCCTCCCCCCCATCCCTTCATAGAACAAGGAGTAAGGGGAAGTTGCCCGGAGGCAAATTTAGACTTGTCCTAAGGAAAAACCTTTCCAACTATAGCAGCTATCCAAAAGCATGCTGGGATGCCTTGGGAGGTAGTGGCTTCTCCTGCCTCTGAGGTCTTCAAGGGAAGGCTAAATGAGCACTTATCAGGGGCGATATAGAAAGGATTGTGGTTCAGGTACAGCCTGGATAGATGGTATCAGAGGTTTCTTCCAATTCTAAGAATCTGTGATAAGATGTCCCACAAAGATGAGTAGGTCAGAAAGGGTAGTCATGGAAGGCTGGTCCCTCTGGTCCAGATTCCCAGCTACTCTGAATCTCTGTCATACCAACAGGGCTGGGAAGAATCTCAAGAAAATGGCTTTGCTTCATTTTGCATTTGCATCTTTCTGCATTGCTGAGACTCATGAAAGAATGGATGGGAGGAGAGGCTCCATCTCCTGACTTGAGGCGTTTTCACTGGCCTGGAATTCTCTCTCCTCATCTCTGACTCCTGGCATCCCTGGCTTCCTTTAAGGCCCAGCTAAATCCCACTTTCTTTTAAAAAAAAAAATGACCTTCCCCTATTACTCACTACCCCAGCTTAATGCTGGTGCCTTCTCTCAGTTGATTATCTCTCTTTTATTCTGTGTATCTTTTATCTGTCCAGAGTTGTTTGTATATTCTTTGCATGTTGTCTCTCCCATTAGACTCTCAGCTCTTTGAGGATAGAAGCTATTTTTCATCCGCCTTTCTTTGTATCGTTAGTCCTTAGCACAGTGCTTGGCACATAATTGCCTTATTGCCTGCCTAATTATTAGGAGAAGGAAATCTGTATCTTTGAAAGCCAAATCCCAGGTTCCCCACCCACTCAAGTAAAACATTATAAAAAGCAATGAAAAAAAGATTGAAGAGAAATAGGGTTGTCTGTTCATTTCAAAGCTCTTCCATCTGTTTAAAGAATAATAGAAAGTATCCCTGAGCTTTCTAGATTAAAGACACTATTTAAATTCAAAGCCCACCTGACGGTAATAGGCTTCCTGTTTCATAAGGTCCTTCCTTCGCCCTACAGCCTCTTTGAGCTCTACTACAGAGGATAGCTTCTTACTTACCTTGTCCATCCACTTTTTAATTGGTTCAAATATCCATAGTTAATTAGTTACTGAGGCCAAGTAAAGGGAAGGGAAGAATATCAGTCCTTTCTTCAAGTACAAATCCTTAAAACTTCCTCCAAGGTAAAAATAAAATTCCTTTGGATATTTGTTTACAAAATTATCAGAAAAGATGGTTTTTGAACAGAATGTCTGTCAAAAAGTTTTTTTTGGGGGGGGGGGAAGCCCTTGATATAAATTGGCTGTCATCTTTTAAAGTATTTAAAGGATCTGAGTGTCAGCTTCCCTGAAGATTAATACAAGAAAAGCACTTTATAAACAGAATATATAAAATGTAAGCTACTGTTAACAGTTACCTCACAGATTCTTAGCTATTCACAGGTTGCTAGCATTCACCTCCACCAACCCCTTGACTTTACAGGTGAAGAAACAGGCCCAAGGTCTTGTGACCAGGTGGCTCTAAAACCAGAGTTCTTAACTCCCAAGGCTCTTTCTCATGGACCACCGTTCCAGGAACCAAAGGTGCAAAGATTACAAAGGTGCTCTTCTTGGTCTATCCCTGGCCCATTGCTGGCCGCTGTCAGTGCAGCATCTAGGCACTCTTTAGACCAGTCATAGTCAAGTGGAGCAGTGTGCTTCTTCCAGGCCCCACGTTCGCAATTAGCCAGGGCATCCCCAGCAGGCATTGCTGTAGAACAGGTTTGTGTGTTGACTGGAGGCCAGTCTGAGCAGGCTCTACAATTAGGCTTACAAAAGCTTCCTCCTTTTGGATTCTTTCAATGATTGTCTTCAATCTCTCAACATCTGCCAGAAGATGGAAGAGTTGGAGGAATGGAGGGAATTGGTTGGGGGATTCCTTTGGTTGAGGCCAGCGTAATTGGCTTAGCCTTTCTTAAAACCAACTCTCATCTTCCCAGGGAGAGCAAGGCCTCTGCAGAGTAACCAGAAGGGCAATTTTAACCCTACCTGACTTAATTCTCCCCCTTCCCTCCCCAACATAGACTTGCCATGGAAAGCAGATGAGAGAGGATGGTCTATGATGTTTTTTTGTTCTCTTATCATAATTGAGTAAAGTGAGAGAGATGTAGGTAGTAAATTTGTTTACTAGTTCTTTTTCTTCCAAAGCAGTGGAATAAAGGAAAGATAACAAAATGTCAAATCCAAATCTACAAAACCCTCATCCCAGACGACCAGTGCCATGTTTGTAGCCTCTTCTAGATTACCCTGAGCCTGTTAAATTCCCTAACCCACCTTTCAGATGGAGGTAATTTGGGGGTCAATGTTACTTACCTACTTCTTCAGTAGCATTCTCAGCCCGGTGGGCCAGACCCTCAGCAGCAAGCTTCCCTAAACCTCCAAACATGGTTCTACCTGGCCTGTTCCTGAGGAGTGAGATGAATACTGTGCTACGTCCTCCTAGCTTTGGCTTTTTATAGGCAGATGTGGGCTCCTCCAAATGTCCATGGGGCAATGGGTGTCACCTTAAAGGAGTCAGGAGGATTTGGTGGTGATTAATCCATGAAGCATCAAAGGGGGTGGAGGAAGATATGGAGGCTGATTCCTCTGGGTCTTGAGCAAAGCCCTATCCCAAGGGAAGTGCCCTTCTGCTCATGGTAAGTAGATATTCACAATCCATAAGCATGTACTATGTGCTAGCACTGTACTAGGTGCCAAAACCTTCACACTCTACGCAGGTATGAATATGTCCTCTAAACAGCTCTATGGGAGTGGATTTCAAAACTGAATCCAGGGGCAGCTAAGTGATGAGTGGATAGAAGACTAGCTCTGGAGTCAGGAGGATTGGACTTCAGCTCTGTCCTCAGACACTTACTAGCTGTGTGACCCTGGGCAAGTCACTTAACCTCCCATTGCCTTAATCCCCCCCCCAAAAAAACCCCCAAAACCCAACAAATCCAGCTTCTCCCTTCTCTTATCTCTGCTCTACATAGCTGCTAAATTGATATTACTAATTCACAGGGATGACCATGTCACAGACAAAATATGGATGTTGGCATTTGAAGCTTTCCATTCTGACTCCTGCCTGGCTGGAGTACATTACTCCCCTTTACTCTATATTCCCCCCAAACCTGACCTATAGGTCATCTATTCCTCCATATACAACATCCAATCTCTCATTTTTGCCCAAGGTGTTTCCTGTGCCTGGAATCTTCTTCCTCACCTTGGAATCCTGAACTCCCTCAGTCAAAGTGCCATATCCTACAAGGCCTTTCTGATTGTCCCCAGTCACACCACCATCACCACCACCAATTGCTTTGTATTAATTTTGTAACGTTTTTGTCTCTGTTGAATATAAACCCCTTGAGGGCAGGAACTATTCTTTTTTTTTTTTTTTGGCCTTTTTATTCCTAGAATCCAACATGATGCCTGGCACATCCTGAGTGCTCAGTGACTACTTATTGCTGAATTTTTCAACCTCTGGGTTGTTGCAAATGATGCCCAAATGCATATATATCTATCTCTCTCTCTCTCTATATATATGTATATACACACACACACAAACACACACATAAACACACACACACACACACACACCCCAAGGCTATATGCTAATCATTTATTTCATCATGTATTTTCTCAAACAATAGGTACTGACAGTGTAATTGCTATCATGTGGATAATGTGTGAACTTTTTTAATATGAAAAATGTTGGAAATCACTGACCCAACGTCTTTCAGGAATTCACCGGCAAAAGGTAGGCAAATAAAGAAAGAGTTTTGGAGACAGGGACTTTGTGCCTTTGAAATCCTCCTGCTTAATTTACACTCTCTGTCTACATGCGAAGCTTATCTTGGCACAACTCATTACCTGTTGATAATCTGGAGGTGCGGGGATGAAGCCAACTGATGTATAATTTACCATTCTCTCCCTTTGTCCTCTTTTTTCAGGATCAGTCTCGTATACAGGGACTTCTATAGGTCCTTTCCAAGTCATAGAATGTTAAAGAGCTCTGTGGACCCTAGATTTACCTGCCTGGGACCTCTGAAAAGACTGTTAGCTGCCTCTCCTGACCATTACCCTTGCTTGCAACCTCCCCACCCCTAGACCCCTTAGCTGGTGTGAGTCTCCACTCTCCTTGCCTGGTGAGCTTCCTTCTCCAATGATGATTGCTCTGTGAGCTCACCAGAGCTACCAAAGTACATGTAAACCAAGAGACTCTAGAAAAGGATGCTTTCTGTCCCAATGAAATATTACTGATACCTCCTTACTAAGTCCTTAATAATCATCTGGTCAAACTCCCTTATTTCTCCCATGAAGAAGATGAGATCTAGAAATATGGTGACTTTCACAAGGTCAACCAGGGAATCATGAGCAAAATCAGAATCACAGGATCACTTAGTTTCTGGGACTCCAAATCTGTTTGTTGCTCCTCATTTTACAGATCAGGAAACCAACCCAAAGAGGTTACCTAGAATCTGAGTAGGAAGGGACCCCAGAGGCCCAGTACCTGAACAAGAATCCCCTTTATTACCCAGTTTTTCTTGAAGACCTCCAGATCTAGAGTGAGGAAGACCTGAATTCAAATCCCACATCAAACACTTACCAGCTATGTGATTCTGGTCCAGCTTAACCTCTCTGAACTCCAGTCTCCTCAGCTGAAAAGTGGGGATAAGAAATGCACAGAGGAGTCGAAATGGGCAAATGAAATGAAGTTTGTAAAGTCTTTTTTAGACCTTAAAACACTAAAACATGTAGGGATAGGGACAAGGCCTGAACCTGTGATTTAATTGATATAGGAGCCTCCTGGATGAGGAAATTCCCTCTATTAATGCAGATGAGCACCTTTTCTGCAACGAAATGCTACCTAAAACACTGAGAGGTCTAGTGACTTGCCCAGGGTCACTCAGATAATATGTGGCAAAGTCAGCACTAGATCCCAGGTCTCCTGATTCTGTCTCTGTGTGTATGTGTGTGTGCGTGCATATGTGATTCCAATATTGGGTGGATAGGAGCTTATGATAAGCCAGTCTCTTAGTCATCCCAGGCTTAAAGCTAGAAATCACGTTGTCCTACAACCAGGACATCCTCATCAAAGTCATGCTAGATCATAGGCTAGACAGAACTACAGAGAACATCTAATTCAACCCTTTCATTTACAGATGAGGTAACCAGAGAGGTGAGGTCACTTGCCCACAGTCTCAGAGTAAGTAGCATTGCCAGAATCTGAACCCAGTTCTCCTCACTACAAATCCAGCTCTCTTTTCACTAACTGCTCTACCTCCAAGTGGGCAAAGCAGCTGAGACATCTTAATATACACAAGGAAGAAAAAAGAATAGCTCACATTTCTATAGCATTTTATGGTTTTCATATACCTTTGAGGTAGGTAGTAGGAGTTGTTGCTTCTTTTTTTTGCATATGAGGAAACTGAGTTTTACAGAGATTATAGGACTTGTCTACAATCAAGACAGCATAACATAGGGTCATGTGGCTAGTACGCTACAGAGCTGAGATGCCAAGTGCAGGGCCCCTTGCACCACAACAACATAAGACCATAGAAACCACCCTCATTATCCATGGGGTCGTAGATTTACATCTGGAAGAGACCTTAAAGGTCACTGAGACCAGCCCCTTACTTTACAGCTGAGGAAAGTGAAGCCCAGAGAGGTTATGACTTGCCCAGCTAGTTAATGTCTGAGGCAGGATTCTAATCCAGGCCTTCCTAATTCCAAGTGGAGCATTCTACTTCCTACGAAAGAGTATGTGTCCATTCAACCCAAGCCTCTATCCTGATGATGCCATCAAGCAATATGATGTAAGACAATGGTATTGAACTCAAACAGAAATGAAAGCCACTAGACTGTCCATAAGGATCCCAATTGGCCCTACATTGACTTAGAAAAACACATATTACCATTTTCTATGTTCTATTGTATTTTTATGTATTTTGTTAAATATTTCCTGATTATATTTTAATCTGGTTCTGTCCCTAGTTAGGGGTATTGTCACTGGATATATGACACCTCCAATGTAAGACACCGTGTTTGTCTTCTTTGATGTCGGTCTCAGTGGTGGGAGACATTCCCCCAATAACCCCATACAGCATAGGGAGTAAGGCTAGATCAGAGGTGGGGCACTGATCACATACTTTATGATATGAGGCTGCTGCTGGGCATGCAGGGAGCTCCTGGACAGTGAGGTATCCGAAAAGACATTGAATTCTTGGCAGAAGAGCTCCTTCTGCCCAAGACAAGAGTGGTCACTCCACTGAGGGAGGATTATCTGGGACCAGAAACACTGAAACAAGGATGCAGAGCCAAGTATGCCTCAAAAAAATATAAGCAACACAGTACCTCAGCCTCCAGAAGAATATGGCCCATGGCTAAACCATGGGGATTAGAAAATTGTGGTTCCTAACGTCAAGCTGCTATCATTGTTAGGTTTCTGGGTTTGGACAAGAGAAAGCATGAGACAGATGACTAGTGATGACCCCTGACAGCTAGCATCACAATGCCTGGGGCTTCTAATCACTGAGTGGGAAAAGAATAAACTTTAATTAGGCCTCTCCAGCTTAGGGAAGAAGGATAAAATTCTCCTCCCATTTGCCCAACTTCTCTCCGCTGCAGCATCTCCTTAGGGCCCTACGTTAGTGCATGTGTGTGTGTGGTGAGGGGTTGGAGTGGAGAGTTGGGGGAGGCAGGGAAGGGAATTGTCCCCTCACCCAATTAGCCCCTTTTCCCAATTATGACCATCAGCTGATAAAAGTAGGAGACGGTAGCTGAGAGACACTAGCAAGTCTCATGTGACTCTGTGACCCATTCCCCATGATGCCATCCTGCCTCAGCAGGGTGTCAAGTAGGGTAATTGGTATTTATATTAGACCTGGTTACCCAAGGAAGAAAGGAGCTATTAAGATGCATTGTATCATTAATGCCAATGCTATGAAGAAAAAACAATCCTCACATGTTTGCCGGCCAAAGGGATGGGGTTTGAGCACAGAGAGGGGTTAAAAAATGGTAAGAATGATGAAGGTAGTTTGTAAAGAGGTCACCCCAGGGGAGCCACACCCCAGGAGGTGTCAGATGCTTCTTGGCCTTCTCCAGAAAAAGCTTATGTAGAGAGGAGTGGAGGGAACGCTCAGCAGCAGCCATCCGAACCGAGTGAATTTTTGTTTCCGAAGACTGGAATGTTTAAAAACCTTCTGTTGACCCAGCTGCAAAATTATGGGCAATAGTCCTTAAGAGGCAGCAATCAGCTGGGTTGAGAAGGGATGCTGACGCATTCCTTAATCAGTCAAAATCCACTGACTGAGCAGTACAGCAGGTAAAGCTGATTTTCCTGTGATACAGCTCAAGGAGCCAGTGAATATTTTGTGCAAATAGAATCATGAACCAGAATCCTCCCCTTGGCTAGAATCAGTCCGAATGGCAAGGTAAATCACCAAAGGTACAAAG